AATATATATATATATATATATATATGTATATTGCCGAACATCTTGGTTAAGTGACAATTCATTCGTGACAACACAATTGAACGATCGCTCCGTTACCAAAATCAATTAACATTATTATGCGGTAGTTGATGGCGGNGGGGGGGGGGGGGGGGAGGGGGCAGATAGGAATGGACTAGGTGTCATAGATCCGGCTGACGATAACGTTCCTTCTAACAAACACCGACGAATCAAAGACCGTAAGTTTAACAACGAGGAAAGGGAGAGAAGCTCTCGAGTATCTTGCTTATTAAGTCTAATCGCGCGAAGTTCATCAAGTTTTTTTAAAAGTCGGCACAACTAGTCCATCGCTATCAATTGCCGTACACGTGTGTGTGCGTGCCTCTCTCTCTCTCTCTCTCTCTCTCTCTGTGTGCGCGCGCGCGCGCGCGTGTGTGTATGTGTGTGTGTGTGTGTTTCGTAATGTGATTGCTCAGCACACTTCCATCCCCAATTCTCCAATATATATATATATATATATGTATAATACATACTACATATAATTTCATCGGAGTATTCAAGAATCATGTTTTAATCGCCAATGGACCAATATATCTAGGGAGATAAAGGCGAGAAAAAAAAATGAAGTAGTAGAAAATATGCGAAAACTATGCGAGAAAGAAATAGGACCCCTACACACCTTACAGACACGAGGAGAAACCTAAGAATACGAATCGTCATGTGTATCACAAAATTCGCAACGAAATATTCACCGGCTGTTCTATAAATTCGTTTCGATCGAATATACGATAATGAAAGCGATGCCACCAGCCGGTCGTGGATTACCGAATCGCTTCGAAAATGTCGCCGCGGTACCGTTAATCATTAAACGTTAAGTACTACCACGAATTAGATCCAAGTGTACCCACAGACCTATATCTTATATCCTAATATTAGTGATATTGAGAAAAAGGGTGATAGTACTTAAGGATTAAGCGATTCGGTACGATTGGAAAGTCCTCGTATGTACAATATTCAATTCGGATGAGAACGGACGATTGTTCGTACGGATTGCCGGTTACGTAGGCGGACAAAATTTAGGCAGTACTGAAAGTGAAAAAGAATCTCATCGAAATGACACGACTGGAACGACCGAATGAGGAAGTCGGAAGAGATTCGCGGATCGCGACGGATCGCGGGGTTCCCGTTCGTGTCGAACTGTTTGCCTTGTCGGATTCTTGGCACATTCGCACGGTTAATGTAAAAGAAAAAAAATATTTCGAAAAGCTAGGATTCTCAGCGATTATCGTTCCTTCATTTCCGACGGAACAGGGGGGCGCGAAAGCACAGGGGATGGAAATAACATCGAATGCGGCGCGCATATGACGTCGCTTGTGATTCTTCGTAATACTATCTCGTTTAATATTTTTTTGATTTCCTTAAGATCGTGTTTGTGAAATGTGTCGATACTGAATGGGAGAATCGTGAGAGAAATTCTTAAGTACATCGATCTCCACGGTTTGTCCCTCGCGATTCCAAAAATCTAACTTCGCTGAGATTACAAATGCACTTTAATTGCATCGTCGTTACAGCTAAATAAGGAATATTTGGAACGAGAATAACCGTAAATTCATCAAAATATATACAGTAAAAATTCGGGTAAGGCAATAACTGTTACCATCTTGAATATTTTCGAAACTATAAAAGTAAGAGGGAAATTTATTTAACAGAAGTTGCACGATACAAAAACGGTCGTCTTATGATGTTTCTTTTCTAGGTGGAATAACTTCAAAGATAACTTTTTTTTTATGGAATCATACAGTTTTTTTACATAAATTCCTGTGTTCATTTTTATAAAAGTGCCAGGTTAAAATCATCAAAAAGTGAATACTTCTTCACTTTCCTTAATCTTACCCTGGTACTACTTTTATACGCAGAATAAACAAAGAAATCGATTTATGTTAAAAAAAAAAACTATATGATTCCACTTAAAAAACAAAGGTGACCTTCGATCTTTGAAGCTGTTGCACTTAGAAAAAAAGCATTATCACGATAAGACAACACTTCTGTATCATGTAACTTCTGTTAGATAAATTTTTCTTTTACTCTCATAGTTTCGAAGATATTCAAGATGCTAGTAGTTATTACCTCACCTTATATATATATATTATATATAATATATATTATATATATATATATATATATATCTCGGTCAATATATATTTTGTCAGTTGCATTGAAAATGATTTTCGCGAAAATACCGACTCACGACACGATTATCAATTGTAATTCACGACACGTCGTATACGCGACGTAACTCGACCACATCTCAGATCTCTGAAGTTCTCGACTCGTTCGATTCGCCTTGCGGGTGATCTCGAGATACTTCTTGGACGTGTAACGTGTAAAAATTATACGTGTAAACATAATTCTAATTTCTATATCGGTCCTGATCGGTGGGACCCTGCGTGCGTCATGGTGCCCGGCGTCGAACATTTAATGCCTTTTGCATGCTCCTCATGATCGCGACGTGATTCGTGCCACCGCGCTTCAGGCTCGTCCTGATCTGACGATAAAACGAAAAGGACGTGCTTCGCTCCAATTCGTGCTGGCCGTCTTGGCTGGTTCGTCTCTGAATCAGTCGGACACAGAAAGACACGTTGTAGAGACCTGTCATTTACGTCCGCCTGTCGCGAGTTAAAAACGAAAATAAATATCTTCTGTGTGAATATCCTCCTGATCTAAAAATCTACGATCATTTCTCTACTAGTTAGGTGACGGTCTGTAAATCTCTTGACTCGATACACGAGCACATTATCTATACGGTCGCGAAATGACGAGAATTCGTATCAGGTCGACGACAAGAAACCTGTCACGTGTCCCGAGCGAGTTATACGTCGCTGATGACCGTTAAAAATGTCAAACTCGTATTGCGGCGATAAAAGTGCAGCATTTACCCGCGAAGAACACACCTTTATAGCTATCGTAAATTATACGAAGCGGCCGATAACGCGCAAATGTAGCGAGAACGAACACTAAAAAGAGAACGCTGAAATATCGCACACGTATGTATGACAAGTGAACAGCCGGCACGCGTGTTCGGTGGACTTCATCGGCGAAGATTATGTAACGACGGGGGGTGGGAGAAAACCGCCGAAAAATCCGTATCTCGGCCAAGCACACTGACCACGCTCGATGTCTCTCGACGACGTCGAGAAATTACAGAACAGATGTTATTTTCACGAGTGGACCCCAACCAACTTCGCGGTAATTTTACGCAAGCACACACGACACACACAGGGGGAGACAACCTGTCGTTGTGACACGCGGGGAAAAGCGGAGAGAGGGGAAACTCGGTGTTAATCGACAAGGAACGTGCATACACAGAGTCAAAACACGATAACCGCTGAAAATCACATATCTAACAAGAGAAAAGAAACGAGGAGGTTACAAAACTACAAGCAACTTCTACCGTTCCTTTTTTTATCATACAGAGAGATGGACACACATCGTATTAGGACAATCTCGTTATTTTATTTAAGCAACACACCGCATCTCATCTTTCGTCTCGTCTCGTCCCGAGCGCGCGCACGCGCACGCTCTCTCTCTCTCTCTCTCTCTTGCTCACCTTCGCGACGATTTAAATCCTCCCTGAATTTCTTCGCGCGAGTCGATCGAGCTTATTACAATGCGCCAACCTCTCGACTCCGAGATATTACAGATTACATTGGATACCCCGGGGATATGTTAAAAAAATATCACACTTTCGAAGTCGCTAACGCTGCGGAGTACGTTTTCTCGCGGGATCGAAATCCTAACGATTACGATAATAGTAGTAGTAGTAATAATAATAGTAGTAGTAGTAGTAGTAGAGCGATACCCGCGCGATGGGGGGTACCGGGTTTTTAACAAAGCTACTTGTGTTACGAAGCTATTCTCTCTCGGCAGTAAAATCTGCATCCACGGTAAAAACTTGGATTACCGATCGTGGACCTCTTTTTCTCTCTCTTTACTCTACCGGCTTTGCTTGATAAAGCGCAACTTTCTTCCTCTTTTTTCTCTCTCTCGATTTAATCCATAAAAATATCATTCGCTGCATTATCACTGTCACTCGTCTCTATCGTTGTACGTGCTCTGCCATAAATGATATACAAAGCAAATTGTATGTGTGTATATATATATTTCTTGAATGGAACGCGTCGAGAGAAAAATGGACACGATCTGCTCGAACGCGTCTTCAACTCATTATTAATAATAACGCGATAACATCAACGCGTGAAGACATTAAAACATTACTCGACGTTACTCCGAAACGAAGGAAACGCAAAAGCAGCCGACATAAAGTATCGAGAATTCTGTGAATTCTTCTGCGAAGCAGAAATCCGTTGTACCGAGATGCGGCGAGATTTTACCGCCAATTATAAATGTCACACACCGACTGTCAGAAGCGTTTTTTATCATGATGATAGTAATAATCATAACCATAATTATACGTATGATTGAACAACATTTTGGCCTTTTTTCAGAACGTTCGCGATAACTCTCACGTACTAATTTATAGCAACGCGATTACACATCTGGATGCTCTGCTACTACGGAGTATTGTACGTACACGGCACTGTGAGTGTCCACCTTGCCTCGCCGCGATCGTGCTCGTCGCGTCGTGTCATGTATAATATAATACAGCATCGGCAAGGCGACATTTTTTCCTCGAACGTCCTCCCGCCGATTCCGATGCACGTCGAATGTCCGGCTGCGCGAACGTTTCAAACCGAGCACGAATCTGCCGTCCACAATGTCACGAGTCTCCTCGATCTTATCGAGCCGTCGAAACGCGTCGTGATCGCTCGTGTGACGAATCTTCGCTTTTGTTGTTATTTCCGGACGACCTCTCGCATTCTCCTTTTATTTTACGTCACCTATTGACATTTTCTTTCTCCCGCGTGTCGGAACGAAATCGCGCCGCGAGGGATCAACATTATCGCGCGATAAGTTCGGCGATGTGGCATTTTTACGAGAGGCAGGGAAGAACGTCGAGATATTTTACGGAATGTCAAGCGTTCTTCTGTTCCGATTACCTTCTGACACGTTATGATCGCCGTGATATGCCGCACGGAAAAAAGGTTTAGTTGAACCTATCAGACAGTGGAGAAAAAGCGTTTTAGTCGAAGGAGACAGAATCTCTGATTCTTGTGAACTATATTTGGTTCTCATAACCAGAAATTCTGTTTTCTTCGATTAAAAGTGTCACACTCGTTCGTTGTCGAGTAAATTCAACCAAACTTTCTTCCCCGTGTGAATATATCAGATTCACCTGAGGTTCCACGAGCTCGTCAAGTCGGAGATAGCAAAGTACGGAAAAACCCACGTTCTTTACTTTACCTTTCCCTCGCATTTTTCTCCCGTTTGCCGAGAAACGATCCGAAGTTCATCGGAATTCGCGGGGGGAGGAACGATTCGAGAGACGTTCGATCATTGCGAGAACACGCACGTCGTCGTATTTATAATATGTATACACGGTACACACGCGCGTCGCGCGTATGTGTACATAATTGCGTATGTATATATGGATACATACATACAGAGACAGACAAAACGTGAGACACATATAGATACAAGTACATATGACACACTAGCTATGTATATATCGCAATTGAAAAGGAATCGCGGGCCCTCTTCTAGCCGAACTATGCGCAAGCAATTTACTTTATTTACAGCCGCTTCTCCAGCGTCGCCGTGTAACCAAGTCGCGTACAGCGACGAACTTGTCCCGTGTTGCACGGCCATCTTTCGCCTTTTTACGCTGCCCGCCCGCTCGCTCGCGCGAGCGTGCGAAACTTACGAACGAAATATCGGTTTATCGACGGCGATGAGACTCGATTAGGAAAATACGCATGAATTATGTGCGAGCGGTAGATACGCGCGAAAACGGCCGCGAAGTGTATAAAATGCCATTTCTCGACCGCCGCAACCCCTCCTCGCGTGTTGTCGACTCGCCACGATTCTCGATTTCACGATTATCAACAATTATTGTTTCAATGTAAACTAAATTCCTTACTTTTATTAGAATGTTCATTATTAAAAATATTTTTCTCGCGCGGAAAAAAAGTCCGATTGTACCGGCCAGAAAGGGAACGGATATATTTTGGTCGAAGGAAATAGAATTTTTTGTTATAAGAACTACATTTGAGTCGTAAGGACGAGAAATTCTGCTGCCTTCAACCAGAACGCGTCGATTGATGTTCCCTATCTGGTTAACGCAATCAGATTTTTTTGTTCCGTGTACTTTTCGCGCAGAATATATTTCCGGCTTTGAGGGGTTGCGAAGTGCTTAATTATTTCGGCATCGATAGAATATAAAGCGGCGCCACGGAAAAAAGATCGAATGCGGCTGAGAGAATGGAAAAAAAAGATCAAGTTATTTCCTCGACAAATAACTGCTCAATACCGCGTTAAATGCACGCAAGGTTCTTCGGAAATTTTAGTAGAATTTCAACATTCCTACTGAGAATCACACGATCGGAAATTAGTCTCTTATTGCTCCGTACGCCATATATATGGCGGGAAAAGAATTGATAAACGCGCCTGTGATCAGTCTTGTTCTGAGGTAAATGGAAAGGCGACATTTCTTCTCACGTGAAAAACCTTTACGCTAGAAAAATGGCACTTCACACACTTCCCGAGCTCGGTCTCGGACAATGTCGAAAGCGTTATCGAGTACTGTAGGCCGACGATTATCACGTTCTTGTTAAATATGTAACTATATAATGATATTGACTCTCCTGTACTCAGGAAGATTTAAAGATGCCCATATGTCGAAGGTGTTGCCGCGACGTCGCTGACAAACACGCTCGAGTGAGATAATCGCCCCACGCTCAATATATATATATGTATGGTGTGTGTGTGTGTATGTGTGTGTAGATGCGTGTGCACAGATTATCCACGTTGAAAACGAATTAATACGCGAAGCCGCGGATCGAGACGAACGTCTCAGTTAATAACGGCGGAAAATCGCGTTAAGTACAAACGTTTTTTCACCGCGAATGAAAGAGGAGCGCGTCGTCAGAGCTGATATAATATTATTGCGATCTCGATCCAAGGAAGGCAGGCGGGCAGATAACACGCGTGTATTCGCCTCGATCCTCGATCAAGTTACTTCGCCGCGCTTTTTAACCCTTAAGTAGTCATGCGATAAAGTGGCCGGGTAAAGAGACCAAAATGCGAGCGCGACGGCGAATCGGTGTATGTTCGCGGGGAGTGTCTTTTAGAAACTTCTCGAATGAGTATCGAGTAATCAACGAAAACTATACACGATGCGTATCAAGCTGACTACGCGTAATCCGAGTAACTGAAGAGCGGGAAATCAAGACGAGAAGAGAGAATTGGGAGATGCATTTGGATTGGAGATAATTAGGAGACACCGTTATACAACGGAATAACGATGACGGGAGGCGACGGAACACAAGAATTCCGGGCGAATTAAAGCGTCTCCCGCGCGAGAGTTAGAGAATGCGTTTTGCACCCACACCGCTACGAAGACGAATACAAAAATTTGCAAAGCAAAGTCGCCGTTGTTAAGCGCCTGTTAGAAGCGTACACGACACCAGGCGTGATTAGCGATCCGCTCTAACGCGACCAATCAAGGGTTAATCCACACACACACACACACATATACACACTTCGCTATCCGTGCTCATTTTACTTCTCCTTCGTATATTCATTCATTCACTCACTCATACGCTCTCATTCTCTTTCTCTCTCTCTCTCTTTCTCTCTCGGAGACTCGTCATTTACGACGATGCAGATCATCACCCACGTTGCACGTTGCGCACGAAGTGACGGAGATTAGTGTGCGGAGGGACCGAGAGTCGTGCAATTTCACTCGCGCTGCAGTATCTCCTGATTCAGGGGAAATAGACAAAGCGTTCAGACAGTCTGACTCTCTCGCATGGAGCGTTCCAAAGCGGCCGTTCGTTTCTGTCAGAATGAATTGCATCAGCTAAGACAAGTCCGCACTCTCAGCAGTATGGGGAGAGCGATTTGCGAGCTCTCGCTCTCACGCGCTCTCTCTTTCTTTCTTTTTCTTTCCTTAGTGGATCGCTGTTTTTGAGTGAGAAGTTTCCAGCTAATATCTCATTTCTAGACGATTATGCGAGACACGTTGCTTCGTCCCGCTCAACTTCTCGATATACGCGCGCAACACCCGCGACGTTTCCTTCCGTTGGGAATATTACCGGTGAATATCGCAGATATCAATATAACAATTAGACTGCTAACTCTTTTGTTTGCGAGCAGAAAAGTGGACACCAGAAATTGTGTATTATATCATGCGTGGAATAGGGAATATGTGTACCTTATTGGTTGAATGCATGTAAAAGCCGATGTCTGTATGCGCCTACCAGGTTTGGGTGAGTTAATTTTTATTTGTAATCATAACTTAAGTTAAAATAAAAAATTGATTATACACATTTTTCTCATGAATAACCTTTTCACTGTAGATTAAAAATGTATGAGTAATGTAATGAAAGGATATAATTTCATGTAAGAAAATATCGATTATTTTGAGCTCAGGATTCCGCAAAAAGAGCATCAGCGCTCAGAAAAATGAAAGAAAAATTCTGCTATTATTTTTTATTCTTCTTATTCCCTGGGAGTGGCTCGCAATGGTTTTAATATTGATGAGTTATTTTAACTTTTGTAAAAAAATTAAAGTCAATGCATTTTAAGTAACTTTTATTTAAGTTAAAAACTAACTAATTTCAAGTTAACTAAGTTAAGTTAAATTAACTTTTTCATCTTCTTAACTTAACTTTTAACTGATTAACTAATTATTATCCAATTCTGGTGTGCACACACACACACACACACACACACACACACACACAAAATGCTTATAGACACATACATAACATTCAACCAATCAGAGAGTGACTGTTATAGACGACGCATGCGCGAGATTTCTGTACACGTGTTCTGGAGACATGTGTTTTGAGTGACTTAACAATCTAATTGTTATGTGATGTCTGTGGTCAGAATTCGCGTATCCTCGAGCGTTCCGATATCACGCAAACCCCGTGATGGGAGACCGCCCGAGCGGATCGCGCTGACGCGTATACATCGCGCATACTTTCGCGTTTCGTCAGCTTTGCGTCGTCGGTCTTGCGATAAAGCACCGTCTGTTTACCTTTCCACAAAAAACCGCGCCCGAGCGCTTTCCAGTGCGAACGAATAAGTGGGTTTCGGCACGACGGACGCGAAAGCATCTCAGGAATGTATCGACAGTGGCATCGTTTTCGAGCGCGCTTCCACATCGATTTCGCAACGAAAAGACCGCCCGATCGTTACTTCGGCCTGGGACGCTCCATGCGGATCGCGCGCGAGCACTCGGTTTCTCAACCGGAATCTCCTGAAAATCCAGAGGCACTCGCGGAAATAGCAAGGGGAGTGTCACGGAGGTGGGGGGGGGGNGGGGGGGGGGGGGGGGGGCGACCTTCGCGAGGCACCGACTCTTCCACCGTGATCCTTGGGGCTTGTTATTCAAGTCAGTCACGGGGGCCGGAGGGGGGAATACGCGCTTTCAAATAATCCGATCAATCGGCCACTGACGATAGCGAACTTACCATCTCGTATAAATCGTCTGTTTCTGGAAACATACAGCCCCGGCAATCGGTAATCGTGATAATATCGCCGCGACGAGCACGCTTCGTAAATCCGGTCTGATTAGCTCGAGATAATAAATTGACTTGAAATCGTGAACAGAACAGTTAACTTAAGGTCGTCGGTGATCATGCGGTGTGACGATGGTGCGCTTTGACATCGATAATTTTTCACGTGTGAACAGCGAGATGCAATTGCAGATACATCGATCAAGGATGGCGTGTCCAGAATCGTCGGAGGCGGAAATATCAACACGATCGTCCGTTTTGCCTCGGCCGTACCTTCTCTCCGTGTGTCCGATCGGTCAGTGAAACAAGTGAGGACTTACCATCTCGGTGGTGAGACTCGCTAACGCCTCCTCGACAGTGGCCGCGATCCTTCCGCCGTCATCCTGCCGTTGATTACCCTTGATCGGCGTGGTCGGGCAACCTAGAATTATCGTTAATCGTCATGGTGCAAAGTGGAATGTCTCGCTCGACCTCGTGGTGACTGGCTGGTGTAACGAGACGAGGTAAGAGAAGAGATACACCCCGAGAGCGATAGTGCGGTCTCCGAATTGGCACGACGATTACGTCGGACGGGTAACTGGAGAGCATGGAATTCCGTGAGATTGAGAAATCCCCCATGACGACGAGCTTCCGCGTCGCGACGCGAGAATGAGAACGCGCGGTTGCATTTTCGCGCGAATCCTCGAAGCACGAGCTCGAAGTCGGAGTTACGTAAACCGGCTTATTTTTGCGGTGTCCTCCTCCTCCTCGAGGTGTTGCAAATCTTCGCGAATCGCGGCTCGAAACGTGAAGACATCGTGCGCTCCCGAGCATGTGTCGTGATTATGCATGAGGAAAGCGTGTGAGTGGGTTTGCGTGAGGTGCGCTCCGATGTAAGTGGAGAAAGATATGCAAAAGACAGAGAGAAAAGACGGAGATGTCGGAACTTATCTCGTGGCCCAGAGATCCCGCTGAGCGAGTCCCGTCGTGGATGAAATCTCGCAGTACGAATGAAAAAACGGGAAAAGAATTAAATCGACATGTACAGACGAGAGGAAGCTCGATGACACGAAAAAAAGAGGAATTAGCTATCCATATATACGACTGAAATTTAGTTATGAAATTTGATTTTTAGTTGTGGAGGCTAAAGATTAAGGAAGCTAAAAACTAGGGACAAGGAAAATGAGCTAAATTTATTAAATTTCAATCGTATTGTGCGGACAGCGAATTTTTACCTTTGGAAGATAGTTTTTAGCTGTGGAAGTTAAAAACTAGATACAGGGTCAAAGATAATTAATCAAATTTTAGTTGTGTTATATGGACAGCTAATCTTTACCTTTAGTGAGATAGTTCTTAGCTATGGGAGCTAATTCTTTTTTTTTTTTCGTCGAGAGGAGAGTGACGAGAAAGAGTGAAGTTTCGTGTTTTCGTATTTTTCTTCTGTCTCCTTTATTATCGCTCTCCGTCTCTCACTGTCGCCGAGGCTTATCAGGCATCTTAAATAACAAGGCTTTGCTCGAGCTAGATAGGGCTAGAGATAGAGTGACGTCGATCGATTATAAATCTTTCTATTCATAAATTGACACAATGCACGAGAAGTACTTCTATGATCGCGTGAGATCCAACGAGGCTCGGAAATCGAGCGCTTTTCTCGCGTTTTACTTATCCGTTGCATGTATTATATGCAATAGACGCAGATAATATTAAATAGAGGCACTAAAGGTGTCTTTCTTATCTGCCGTTTCACCGTTTCAAACTACTTCTAGACTCGGTTAACTCGGTTAATTAATTACATTAATTACGTTGATTAATTACAAACGTGATTCATGTCGTCGTTATTAAGGTTTTCGCGATAACTTGATCGAAAGCCTGCCTCGTTCGCGGCGCGACGCGCGAGTCTCGCGCCGCTTTTGGCACTGGAATGTGGTGTTTGTTTGTACTGTGTGATACATATGTGTTAGTAGAGTCTGTGAGGACGAGATACACGCGGTAAAATGCTGCACGCGTTCCGTGACGCACGTAAAGAACGATGCAGCAATGCTTCGAAGAGCTGTGAATCTTTTCCCGAAGCGCGAGTGCATCCGACGTACAAGATGTTTCGACTCGCAGTTTCGCGACATTTCTGAAACCGCTGTCTCACCACCGTATTATACACAAGAGACGCAGATCTATCGCCATCGTGGTCGTCAGCTTTTCATAGCATCGCAACCGATTGTTCAACGATAGTCAATCGAACACGAAATGTCGGAATAAAACGCACCGTCGAGCACAAAATATCAAGAAATGTAAAAAGGATATCATCACACTGCCGCGATTTTTCGATTTATAAAATTAGATTCTGGACAAGACGATTTGATTTCTCGAAATTTCTCGCGAGACCGTTTCGGCCAATAGACGTCGCTCATTGGAGGAAATCTACTTGGTCGAATCATAAAGAACGGACCGCGTCAACTTTTGACGTCCACGTGTGTTCTCGCACATCTCCTCGTTACAGCGCTCGAGGAGGTAGAATAGAGGGGTCAGAGGGGCAGAGTAGCGGCAGAAGAAGACGAAGATGAGGTCCTCGATAGGGACGGGCGATATTCGAGAGGAAGAATCGACGTTCGAAGAATAGTAGAAAAGTTTAGTAAAACACGTATTAATTATGTCGAATAAAAAAATTACCGGTGCAAGGATTAACCGAATTTGAAAGCACCGAGCAGAAAATCGAGCCTTTATCGAGAAAGAATTGAAAGAAGATCGTCAAACTTTTCCTTTAACGTGAACTCGTGAGAAGTGAATATTTTCTAACTTCTTAATTGTACACGGAGAGGAAAAAGATTGATTGAATTGAGGTAACAATGAATAAACCAAACGCATTTTCGTTGAGGGAAACAGAATTTCTAATTCTTATGAACTAAATTCGGTTCTTACAGCCAGAAATTTTCTTCCCTTCAACCAAAACACATTCGGTTTGTTCACTGTCACAATTCAACTGATTTTTTTTTCTCAGTGTACGTAATTGTAACTAAAATTTTTCAAAACAGTCGGTCCATCAAACCATTTTCTTAGGAATCTTTGTAAATTTTAACTGTATATTGCAAATACTATCCACACGTCTGTAAAGTTAGAAAACGATTGATTACTTGGAAGCTGAGATATTTGCAACTAAAGGTGATATGTGATCACTGTGAACAAATAAAATGATCGCCCATGCATCGGCTGTAACCTCTTCTAGGCCAAGTATATGCCCGAGTCGAAATTTTGGCCTTACGTTAAACCTTTAATTCTACAACATAGTAGGAGCTAAGATAGTAAAATAGATCCAATTTCAATTTTAATAATATAATACAATCCTTACTTTGACCCTGATATCTTAAATTTCCCTTTTCGCTGTTTTAGCGTTAAACTAGGATGATGAAGGTAGCATTAAAATTCAATATGTAGAATGAAAAGTTCCAAGTAGATTTTTATTAGTCTATGGGCCGTCTAAGTAGACGCGAACTATCCTTAAGAGCGTCAAAGTAGCGTCGAAATTTCGGCTCGGACGCCTTTTAAAATCGTCCGAAACTTTTCGAACTCGAAAGCGTTTGGAAACGTCCACTTTTCACGAGTTTACGACGGAAGGGGAGGTTCACGATCGCCCCCTCCCTCCGAACATCGATTCGTCGGCCGCACATCGCCCGTCCTCTGGTTTTCGGCACGGCGGCGATAGTCTTCACGTGCCATAGTAGATGTTGAGCGCGTACAGCAACTTACCGATGTCGCCGCTGCTGGAGCTCTCGGTGAAGGACGGCGTGCCTTCGGTCCACGTGGGTGTCGAGCCCTCGGCGCTTCCGGCCGGCGGTGTCCACGTGAGACCGCCGCCACCGCGGCTGCTACCGCCGCTCTCGACGCTCAACGACGACTTGGTTTCCCTGCCGCCGCTGCCGCTGCCGCTACCGCTGCTTTCCAAATGCACGTCCGATATGCTGGATGGATTTCATTCGCGATTTAATACGGGCTAGCCCGGGGTCGGCACGACGTGGGTATACAGAGACTACATATATATATATATGTGTGCGATTGTAAATACTAACATTTTCCTTTTCCTGAAGTTGCCGTGATAAAGCGAACACGTTTTCGTTTAGATGCGTGCAAAAGTGTGTGCGTGAGGGTAAGCGTAAGAAATATAACATATGTCAGGTTCAGATTAAAGTATAACGTCAACGAAAGATTCGCGGGTGTAAAGTCATTTAGACGTAGGTTATCGATTACGACGTTGTCTGACCGTCAAACAGTAACGCCAAGATATCCCTTTCAAAGGTATCCCGCTTTCTTGCTACGAAAAAAAAAAAAAAAATGAAAGCGAAAAAAATAATCACGCTCGCACGAATTAATTATTTTCTTGGCTACTTTATATAAACGTGTTTTTGTAATCGCTCTCTTAAATTCACGTTACCGGTTGAGAGTCGTGGTATCTCAATTCAATCGTCAACGAGAATCACTCTCGCGACGAGCAGTACTCACCTTACGGTGTCGTGATGGTACGCCTTGGTGAGTGTAACGTGATGAACGACCTTGTTTTGTTTGGAATGAGCAGAGGTCAGGCTGCTCGCGAGGATGGTGGTCGCGCCGCCTTGCTGAAGGTGACCACCGGAAGCCAGGGTTTGGTCATTCGAGCGGACTGCATCGTCAAAGGGCGGGGGCGGGGTGGAGCAGGTGGAAGGAAGGGTGCCACCTACAAAAAGCGCGCTACAATTAGCCCTAATTAACGTACGAGGGCGCGTATCGAGCGCCAAGATGTAGCAATAGGCGAGGGCGGTGGAGTGTTGCGGCGGAGGATCGGGGCCGGCGATTAAGGGCTCGTTTTTGGCGCGGAAGTACACTCACGTGAAAAAATCACGGTCACCTGAGTAACGTTTCCCATCCTTTTTTTTACTTGGTTAAGTAAGTCGAATCGAGAGACTGACGAGTCTCCTTGCATTTTTCGAGAGAAGTTGCCAAATTTGAATGTTCCGCACGGTATACGGTAGAAGTGAAAATATACCGGTTGATTAATTAAATCGATCGGTCGAGTTGATTTTTGGACTGATTGAGAGCTCGAGTATCATTGAATTTTTGATTCAAAGAAAAGAGACGATTTTGATCCGCGATCTTGCTGATACGCGAGATAGTTCAACTCAAAAGTAATAACTCCCCGTGAGCTCCGCACGTTCGTGCGGATTCGAAGGTCAGGTCGACGGGAACTTTGAAGCACCTCGCGTATGGACTTGATCGTTTTTCAATTGTTGCGGGATTTTCTTTTAGCACGAAGGCAGCAAACCACTCCAACTCAGTAAGTGATAGGCAACCCTCTTGCCTATGTATAAATATATACATGGTTGTCGAGGCTTAAGGTAAACAACTATTAATATTTACACGGGTAAAGATTGCTATACAGAGTTTCTAAGCGCGTAGTTATACACGCACACAACTAGAGAAAGGAATTATTCCGAACAGAATTACGTATTAGCATTTTTCAAGCAGCAGGCAAACCAACAGCGCAAAATCGATAACTCTTATGTTACGATAAATACGAATTTTACATCGCATGCAGCTCTTTTTTAAGAATGCCGGAAATTCCAACGACCCTCTCGTGGCAACTAATACAACGCATTTACGTTCGAACTAGCGAAAACGATCATCTCGTGAACTCAATTACATCGTCTACCTGCGTGTCTACGCGATAGTGATCGAACTATTTAGCTGGGGAATGTAGGATTCGTCGAGTTCCAAACTCGACGACAAGCACACCCTCATCCACACGCATACATTGATACGTTATCACGACATGATTACACACGTATCTTCACATTGAACGTCTCTTTACATTGCACATCGACGTGGACGCACATCACACTAACATCGAGACAGATCATCAACAGGCAGTTTACACAAATAGAAACTCTTCGGGATAATTTGATCTTTGTACAGTAGGATTAACAACAAACTAAGAGACAGTGAAATCAGCTAAACGGACAAACTAATTACGCGAATTAAATCGGTCAAAAGGATCGTGGAGGAGCATCGATTCGGTTCCGAGGGTGTGTGTGTGTGTGTGTATGTGTGACAACGTGAGAGCGAAGTTTCGCCTCGTGACACGCTACGTTTACCCATTGGCGTTTTTCTGCGCAGCAAGAAGCAATTCTCTACGCATGCAATTTCTAACGAAACTAGCTCTCTAACAGAGTTTTCTAATAGACAAGTTCTATTTGGACGAGTTCTAAACGATGGTCGTTTGACGACACAATAAGTGGAATTCGAGATTGCGATTTACAATTGCATACATAAACGATACCTCGTCGATATCTGAAAATCGACAGAGTCGAGCGGATCTTACTAAAAATGTCGCGAGCGTGTCCGAGAGCTCGGAAAGATTGTCTGTAAGCCGATACAGTTTATCCTCCACGATGTTCCCCGACGATATCGCGACAACGCACTTAATAATAAAGGTGACTTCCGTGACACAAACACCGTCGGAAATATCATCTCGTAATCTGACGTATGAGATCGTATGATGATACGCAGGAAATTATAATCGTGAGGACGCGTGTCCGCGCGTTATCATGCAGCGGTGATAGGAAGAGCAAGAAAAAGAAAGGCGGAAAGAGAGAGAGAGAGAGAGAAGAAAGACACGTTCTACGCGACAAGCGTCTATTGCGGGTGGAAGCTGCGGTTCTTCCTTATAAGTAGATAGATAGATAAATAGTAGTTCTTCCTTATAAGTTCACGAGCTCGCAAACAAATCGCATACGTTATCGTTATCCGTTTTCCCGGTAGACGAGCAAAAATCTTTATCGGCTCGATATCATCGAAGTTTTCTCTCGTGAATCGTCAATTCTTTTTAAGGCGTTTCTCGACGGTCTTTATCTATGTTGCTCGCTTCTGCGACGATCCGAAGTGAACACTGGAAACTCGAGACGCGCTACTCGTGACCGACGGGTATCTCTACGTGAACGACCGCGTCTTCCGATAAGTGTGCAGAAACGAGACGTTCGGCAGGAGCGACCCGAATTCTCGAGGACCGAGCGGCGGATCGTTGCAGTGGCCGCTCGAGAGCGACTTGAAGGCTCGCCCTTCGCGATTGGGATCGACACTCGACGTCTCCGTTCTCGATCCGATCCCGCTTTCCTCCTGACGAACCGACTTGGCCTCTGCGGCCGGCAAAGTGAACTTTTGTTCGAAGCCGGCGGCGACGTGCTCCGAATTGTACGGTCGCACGTCTTGTCGTCGTGATTCCTTCGCTTCGTCTCTCACGTTCGTTCGGAAGCTCTCGAAATTCTTCACCTTTTCCGAAACGAGGGACCTCACGTCGCTGTTGCCGCTTCTGCTCGGCGATTTATCTGAATTCATCTTGTTTTCGTGATCTCTCTTAGCTTGCTTCGACTTAGCTTGCTCGTTGCTCTCGTGTCGCTTCTCCAATTTTTCACCAGTCTGTCGGTTGAATTTACTGATTCGTTCGCGAACTATTTCGTCTTCCTCATTCTTCCCCTCGTCGCGATAGCTTTTCGGAAAGATTCCCTGGAAGCCGCCTCTTTTGTTTCCTTCGTTACCGCTCTTGGAAACGTTCTTCTTCCTTTCATCGACGTAATTATTGCTCGCAACGGAACGATCGGCTCTCGAAGAAGTTTGCTCACGTTTAGTCGTCGGCTGTCTCTCGCCTCGAGAACTTTTGACATTCTGAGGACTCGTTTCCAGAGGAAGCTTCTCGCTTTCCTCCGTCCTTTCTTCCGCCTTCCTTTCTTCAGGGGAATTTCTCACACCGAGAGCACCAGAGCCTCGTTTCTTCGACGACGGTTTCGGCGCGAGCCGTTTCTTCCTCCTGGATTTCTCTCGGATTTTTCGCAGCAAAACACTGTCCTTCGTCGTCGCGAGTCTGATCCTGCGCCTTGCCTCGGCAGGCTCGTTCTTCGCGTCCTCCGTCGACTTTCGACGCTGCGACGTCGTGACCGTCGCGATGGACGTCCCGAGATCCTTCTGCTTCCTCTTCACCCTCTCGTAGTAAGTCTCGGAGTGCTTCTTGTCTTTTCGCGACATCCTGTAATTCATCAAGTCGGCTCGCGAGCCTGGATTCAAGAAGTACGTGAACTTCGCCAGGTGATCCATCTTGGCGCCAGCTCTTCCTCCTTTATCTTTCCTCGAGGCATCGCGACTTCCGACTTCTTCAGCTTCTCCGGGTCGTCCCTTGGAGCGATCGGACCGGTAAATTCCCCGGTCCGGTCTAAAAGGATGCGGGCTGGTCTTGATGAAGTAGGCACCCTCGACCTTCTCCACGCTGACGAACTCGTCGTCCTCGTAGAATTCTCGTCTATCACGCCAGTCTCGCACGGGCTCCACCAATCGACCGCTGCCGACGTCTTGGCGGGAAACGCCGCGATGTGACGTGGTGACGCGGTGTGTTTCGGGTGTCGGCGCAAGGTGGTGTCGGAGGGCATGCAACGCGTTCGAGATAGTAGTAGTAGTAATAGTAGTAATAGTAGTAGTAGTAGTAGTGGTCGCGGTGGTAGCTTTGTTAGAAGTAGCGGCAATGACAGTAGAGAAGGTCACATCGTTAGCGGTGGTAGAAACAGAGGCGCGGGTGGAACGGTCAGAAGTGAGTGGGAGCAGGTGGTGATGGTGGTGCGGGTGGTTGTTGCACGAACTGCACTCATGCAAGCGGTATCTCGTGATAATGGCTGCTTCATCACCTCGGCTGGAAGTCACCGACGACGTGGTCGAGGCTGCCGCGCGGTGCTCCTCGGAGGACCTCGCGGCCCTCGAGGAGCCGGTGCCGCGCGGCGGCACCGGCGGTGGCACCTTGCCAGACGGCACCAGGTTCGGATTCGGCGGACTGGCCGCGCTCCTGCCCTTCAGCACGGCCGGGTAACTCGTGACCTTGACCGTGGGGGCGGCGGTGACCCCCGGCGGATGCTCGTCACGATGCGGACCGGCGGCCAAGGTCAACGGGGGTGGGCTCAGCGGACCGGCGGCAAGGTTAACCGGTGTCGAGGTGGCGATCGGCACCGAGCCGCTCGAGACCGCCGTGTTCGTGGTCGCAGGATCGGGTGGGCTAACTGCTGCCGGGCGTCGAGGTCGTCACGGAGGTTTTCCGTCGGTCGGGGGGTGAGCAGTCGCGCGTGCAGCGTCGCGATGATGGCGGGGTGGTAGAGGGGGACAGAGTATAGGCAGGCAAAGAGAGAAACAGAGAAGCTGGATGAGAAGAAGTCGAATGATTTCCGTGGGGAACCGTGCAACGTTGATTCTTTCTTTGCTTGCTTGCTCGCTTGCTCGGCCGTTCCCGACGGTCCCTCGCGACTCAGCGATCGGACGGTGCAAATTTTAAGTAAGTAACGCGGGCTATATGATCGCGATTAAGAGAGAGAGAGAGGGGGATAGAGTAATCTCGCGGAGATGATTCGCGCGTAATGTGAATCGGTGCCCAGCACGTGAAACTATTCTTCTCCAAGGTTGTCGCAGACACAACGAGATGCGATTATAGTATGAAACATCATCTCCTCTTTCTCGCAATTTTCTCAATTCACGGACGTACCTCGAATTTACGTTGCACAGCCCGCTCGAGAAATTATCAATTTGCGCTTTTAGTTAAGCAAACAATGGTAAACATGATTCGTAATTCGTCGACTATTTTCTCACTTTGTTTTTTAAATCTTAGCTAGACTCAACAAAGGAAATAGCGTGATGTAATAATAACTCTTCTCCACAGTTCGTCGTACATTTTCTTTCTCTTTTCTTGAGCGAAGGAAGCACGCATTTTCCGAGCGTGACACGCGAGCGTTTCGGAATACAACGGTAGACATCGCGACGTCGCGATCACGGGAAACTTTTTACACATGGCAACGAGGAGACAGAGAGAAGTCTATGACGTAACACGAGAGAAACATATAAAGTGATCGTATGAGAAACTCACCGGCTTTCGTGGGTGATGTAGCATGCATTGTCGAACCTCCAGTTGCCGCCACCGCTAAACCACCATACAACACCATGTACCATTACCGTATTGCCACGCGTGTCCAGCTCTCGATCGGACAGAGAAACTCATCGGCGGACCTTCCCCTGCGGGTGTTCTTGTAGGCGAAAGCCATTCAGTGCCAGAAGCGCGTAAATCAAGCGTGAGATCTCGTCTCGTGTGTCGTTTTCGTCGCCGCGAGATCCCTTCGTAGTCGCAGGGCTCAAAGCCGCGATCGCGACGAGTTCGATCTTCGAGCGCGAAACAGACGCGCGAAGACGTCGTCGGTCGGTCTGACTGGACGATCGTTTTCGAACGTCCACGGGGAGTCGAAGGTCACTCGACTCGCGTCGTGATCGCGAATTCGGAGCCTGCTTTTTACGCTTCAAAGGCTCGACGTTCGCTGCGTTCTTCTAAGCGTTCTCAATTTGCAGCGTGGGCGAAGCACGACGAAAGCGAACCCTTTGCCGAAGTCGCGCAGCTCGAGTTTCTCTGTCGCGTCGTTGGCCGAAAGAGTCAGCAGAACCGGGGGATTCGAGCAGCGGGGACTTGTTCGTGTGAAAAATGGGGCGGTGGAGCAACACTTTATACTGACATTCACGATACGAAGCTGTATTACACGGGGGCGCGATCGCGCCGATCAGTGAGCGGATTAATTACAGGGACACGAGGGCGAGCGGGCGAGGATCGGGGGTGTGTGACGACGGGGGGCTCTCGAGGTGCAGAGACTCGCGGAAAATCTCACTTCGCCAGGTGCTCGTGAGAGATATATAGAGTTTCCATCAGGCAGACAAATCGTTCTCAATTATGTACAACGTGAAGAGACTCCTCCTTCGTGTGATATGTACACCGAATTTCTCGTCGTCTACATAGAGGGAAAGGTTTCTTTGGATTTAGTATATTATTTTGCCCGACTTGGGTTTGTTTGATATAAACAACATAATTTAACATCGAATATTATTTTGTTTGAATGAAAAATGTCTCACTAGAGTAAACTATATTGTTTGAAAGAAAAAAAAAACGGTATTACTTAGAGGAAAAAAAAAACATACTAAATATCGTTTCACAGAAACAAAGAAACTCTTGAATATTTTTCCAACATAGTGTTACTTCTTTCAAATAATTTACTGCTTATGACTTACGACTATTGTAATGTTTGGATGAAGATATAAAAGAAATATGTTATCTGAATTAAAGGTATTTATTGTTTGAGAAACCAAACAATCCTGTTTGTTGAATCAGATGTTCGTTTGATTGCTCTATTCCAAAAGACAAATTAGTTTCAATTAACGAAATATTATTAAATCCAAAGAAATCTTTTTCCCTGTGTACAAAGTCTACTGTTCGAATGCGTTCCCGGATATGTGCATTTATATATGTACAAACTTATCTCTGTGATAGGTGAAATTAAATTTAAAATTCCAAGTTTTTCAGTAAAAATTTTATTCACTCGCGAATGGAAATTTTAAACTGAAAGCTTTAAATCTCTAAAGTGTAAAATTTGAAAGTGGACAAATTTTGAAAAAATTTCCACTCACAAATGAAGAAGAAACGAGCGAGTGAGGAAAAAAAAACGCTCGAAGTCGGATGCCATTTCGGTCGTCAACGTGCACCTTCATAACAACACGTATTAAGGTTTACCGAACAGTTAGGGATCACACAATGGACATACATACGTTTCGTACACGCACAGTATTCACAGTTGGGAGGGAGCGTGGAGAGACGAGGGACGAGGAGGAGGATTCGGGGATGGGCTTGACTTCACCTGGAGTCCTTCGCGTCTTCGCACAACATCGGTACCGTCGTGAATGCTTTGGAAGCGAGTAACATGGGTATGCCGCAACTAAATTTACTGCACTGATCGCTGTGCCCGGCTACATACGTGAAATCCAGCGCAAAGCCAATAATAGAACCGTGAAAGAACGTTTCGTTCGGGATCCTCGGCCACGATTTTCGGAAGCGGAGCTCGCGCGTTTCCCGCGGGAACGTCTAAAGTCTCTCTAATTGGCGGTGAATGCGCGAGAGAGGAAAATCTATTCTCGAACATAACTACTGATTTCACTATCGTTATTCAGCGTGTAGCTTTCGCTGAACGTTAAAATTGCTAAATGTCAAATATTAAATTGTTCGATAAATTCGTAGAAATTTTTACGAAATATTCAAAGCCGATTCTTTCACACATAGTTAGGCACGACTTTAATTCTTTCGTCTTTTTTTTTGTGGCAGATCACCGGAAAAACCGGACAATACATTACTGAGTATGCCAAACTGTAAAAGTAGCGACCTTGAACTCTTCGCGAAAATCCCTACAAACTTGTCGAACAATCCAATATTTCTCTTATCGGCCACTTAAGTAATCATTTAAGTGTAGGAGACAATAAGAGTGTTCACGCGGTTCATCGTCGGCGACGTTCCGAAAACCGACCAACTCGTCTCATTCGTGATATATATCATAAAACAAGCGCAAAGAACTGTCGAGTAAAACGGCGAGAGAATCGAGAGTGGAACCGCGAACGGCTCGGGTCGGAACTCAATACACTCACCGGTCGAGTCGAAGTCACCGTCCAACGGCCTCAGCGGTCTGGTGATGCTTTTCCTCTTCGACGGGGAATGTTTCAAGGCTGCAACACAAAACGTACGGCGCTACAATATCTCGCGCGCAGGTCGTCGGAAGGAAGATATAAAAAAAAAAAAAACACCGAATTATTCCTCAAGGCCCGATTTGGAAATTAACTATGTCAAGTATACGCCTATATATATAATGGGAAGTTCAAGTGTGTTACGCTACAGAAGCTGACATCAGTACTGTAGCAAGGATCAGTGGGATCGCGTCTTATCTTTGAAACCAAACAAGACAAGAGTCACCAAAACGAGCTTCGTTAATGCATGAAGGTCGTTAATGCAAGATGACGCGAGTCGGTCTACCGATGATCGTTCAATTTTCCCGGAAATCGTGGAAATCGCTTCTCTCTTCCGCGATCGGAAGAAGCGATCGCCACATTTGCCGGATATATCGCGACAAGATTCCCATGTTTTTCCCCGAATCGCCCTCGGTCGGAGCTTAAGTCCCAAAATTAAGTAAATCTCCATCGAGCGGCCATGCTTCCAATTACAATTCGATCTCCCAAGTTCTCGCACGGATTTTCCCCGGAACTTTCCCCGAAAACGATGGAAATCTCGCTACAGCACTGTCTGCCACGACTAAACGCACGTCTAAACGCCGTCTTCTCTCGGTTCTACGATACTGCTCTATTCTCTACTATGCCCATTTGACGGCACGCCAAACACTATCGCGCCAATATCTCCGCATATACGTCAATCATCGTAATTAGATACTAATCGCATAAATCAGGTAGCGTATAAATTAGATATACGCAGAGTGTCTAACAAACATTATACGTATGGACAGATACAGACGTGGCCAAGCCGACGATATTCACGGCTCTCTCGCTTGCTGTCCAGCGGCAGCTCTAGTCTTTGCTTTCTATTCCTTCCTTCCTTTTTCCTTTACGATCAACGATATCGTCGCTCGTGTACTACACTCTCATAATCCGCATGCCTGAGTATAATTAGTATCACATAAAGAAGTACATACGTACATAAGAAATGTGCTGGCTTCTGTAGAAATATGTATTTTATGCATATATTTATATGTATATGTATAGTAAAGAAAAAAAAAAAACATCTCGTAAGAAATTGCACAAACGGTTCGGTTCGTGATCGATTAGTTTATCGGTCCGTGCCGTGATTACAGGGTATGTCTAGGCTAAACTAATTGCTGCACGGTATATCGGATGTGACGAGGGGGGGGGGGGGGGGCTTTNGGGGGGGGGGGGGGGGGGACTTTTCGAAAGGGTTGCACGTGAGTTTGTATAGAGAAGTTCGGTGAATACATTATGCTATTGGAGGGATGTTTCCAGAGGAGTAAGGGGGGTGAACGCGTGTTTTTGGTTTGTAACACCGAGGTTCATCTCGTCGGTTCGACCGGCGAGACGTTATCTATCGCGAGAAGATACACTGTGTGTGGAAGAGTGAAGAGAGTTTCGCGTTCTAGAATATCGGGGAAATGAAGTCGAAGAGGTCTCATGAAGGAGAGAGAAAAAGAGAGAGAGAGAAAAAGTGAGAAGAAAAAAGAGAGAGAGATTCTCGGATTCGTTGCGAGATCTGTGTCTGAGCGAGAACGTGTGTGGCGAGAAAGAACAGAGAAGTGTGTGAAGAGTGATGAAGAAGGAAAAGAAAGAAAAAAAAAAAACGACAGATATTACACGTATCAGGCTCACAACATTCACAGGCAATGGTTGCAGAAGCGACAGAGATAGAGAGAGGGAGAGAGAATGTAGGTAGAAGAAGAGAAGTGCACTCGCGACGAGGATGATATCCGAGAGGTTTCCGTGCGATTCCGCCGCTTGAATTCGCGTCTGCTGCGCGTCGCAAACACGATTCGAGAGGTCTGTACTCGACAAATTTCTCAAAATTTCTCAAAAGCTCACGCACGCAAACGCGTCACTTGATCTGACCTGGACGTTTTACGAGCGGAATAACGAAGAGTATCAAACGATCGGAAATTCGGCGTAGAAATTCCGGCGTCGCGTTCCGCGGGATAATCGACAGCTTGTCCTCGCGAGTGCCGCATGCAAAGAAAAGCATCTATCGTGAATTTGCTTGCGCAAACATTTCCGTGATCACTCGGAGGCATCATCGATCATTCGGATCTCAAGCTCTCTTACTGCCGGGAGGTCTCGATGCGGACATTCTCTCTACGCGCGTTTTCTTCGCAAAGTTCGTGACGGTCGGCAGAGGCGAGACAAATCCGCGCATTGAGCAGAGTCGAGGAACAGAGCGTGAGAAACGGATCATTCGTGAAAAGATATATATATATATATACGCATATATATATATATATATATNTATATATATATATATATATGCGTATGCAACACAGGCAAACAGGATCGTATGAACAGAAAGTAAGAGAGAGAAAGAGAGAGAGAGAGAAAGAACAAACGTACATACATTCGCACAAAAATGGACAGATGGACGCACACATAGACAGAGTTACCTATGTAGCTGGTGACGAGGTTACGGAATTTGCGGTGATTCCCCTTAATCTCAGGCAGGTCCACTTTTGGTATTCGATTTTCGAGTTTCGATCGGTAGTAGTAGTAGTAGTAGCAGGTCAGATGAGGTCATTGGGGGTCGACACGGAAAGAAGTGCACGGGACACAGAAACATCAACATTTAACCAACTCCGCATATAATATGTGATCATGTATACCGGATTATATCGAGACGAACGACAAAATCATAGGGACTGCCGAGAATAGATAGACATTAAAGATAAAGCCAAGGGTACATCTAATTTTCCGAAACGTGTCAAAGTTTGAAACACAAAGCGACTCCGAAGCGATTTCCCCTCCTGTCCATCCGGGGATTCGTCCGTGTATCGGTCGTGGATACCGCGAATCGCTCAACTATACCTTCGTTCGAAATCAAATCTCGTTACACTACTAGATCGAAGATCCCGCGCGGCTCGCGCCAATCGCGAGCCGTTGGTTGGGCAAACGTCGTTGTGTCCAATTAAGGAAAACCAAGGAAACTACCGATTATACCGCGACGACTTTTCGCCGGGTGCTTTCTCTGGGTCGGCGCGCGCGCGCGCGCTGTCAGGTCTGTATTAATCTACTGATTAAGATTACACCGGCGAGTACAGGTGACGGGTGATCTCAACGAAACGCAAACGTACGTAACACAACAACAAACACATCGCATGATACAATGTTGAGACAATACACAAAGTGTAAACGCGAAGATGGTGCGAGAAACTTAATCGTTATGAGTAAAGATGGGGCGGTGTGAGTTTGTAGTTAGAGGAACGATGTCGATATATAATGTATGACAGTACACGTGACGGTAGTAGTAGTAATGATTGATACAGTAATTGTAGTAGTAATAGCAGTATATAGTAATAGATTAGGTAGTAATGGTAGTACAGTGGTATTGGTTATGCCGTGACAGTAGTAGTAGTAGTAGTAGCAGTGATGGTAGTATAGTATAGTGGTATCGGTGGTGGTGGTTAGTTAGTAGTAGTAGTAGTAGTAGTAATAGTAGTACAGTAACAGTGGGTTATAAGTAAGTGTTCTCGGGTGGGCTTATAAATGAAATGAAGTTGTAAACAGCGAAAATGTTTATTGCAAAATATATAAATATGTACAATGGTGCCCACGTTCAGTCGATAGCTGAATATTTTCACAATAAAAAAAGATCTACTTCTCTACCGGTAAATTCTCGCTCTCGCACACTCTCGCACTCGTCCTCAAATTAATCGTACACCCACGCGCGGTCCTACTTGCTACTGTTGCCAAAAATATATATATGTATGTATGTATGTATGTATGTATGTATATATATATATATATGTATATTTGATATATATACATATATATCCCACAATATTTACATCGCAAAGATTCCTCTCTATGCAGGTATGTAGCTCGCACGAAATCGATTTCAAGAGCCTCTCTATAGAGGAAACTGTTTTGGCACTCTTTTGTTCTGCTTTCTACAGGCAGTTTTATCAATTCGAACCACTTCGATGTGCGTGTGTAACGTGTGTATGTATATATATATATGTGTGTGTGTGTGTGCGTGCTCACGTGTAAGGATGTACATTTCGTGCGTTCTACTATACCTTTTCTACCAATATGCTCTAATGGACGAAAAGATCAATGATTGCTTTGGCGCATTGGTAAAATCGAAACCTTTCCCCTTGAAAGTCATTTACTCCCTATGGTAAAAAGCGGGGGGGCTCTCTCACGGAACTTTGCTCTATGCATGATATTATCGATCAAAAATTCAATTCATAGAAATTAGATCATGACGATTCGTGTATTAACAAGTGCGTACGTATTAATCTACGCTATAAACTAGACCGAGAGAGAGAGAGAGAGAGAAAAAGTCAATATGGCAGCAGGCAACGGATCTTTAATTGCGTCATCGTACGTGCAATATCCAGCGAGATACCGCTATCGAGACTAGACACGTATTTCTAAGTCCGAAATATGGCTTGCGGGATGAAGTCTAACATATAAGTCCGCGAAAACGCCGATGGACAGTTGCCGCGACAGTGTGATATCGATTATAGAAAAAATACTCAGCTATACTTGTGGACACCAGTGATCGATCATTTTCTCTAATCTTTTCCCGTGAATACTAAAAATATATATCGAAACCAAAATTTGTGCGGAGGAAAATATGAAATGCGCAATGAGGCTGGATTGGCAAAACCAAATCTCGTTAAGGAACATAAAAAAAGTAAAATAAAATAAACAAAAAGAAATGAAAAAAAAAAGTTACATACAATACGTGTATTGTGTTAGCAATTAGTTACACCAAAACAAAACCCAAAAATGATCAACTGACACTCATAAACCCAAGATGTCTCTTATTCACTGATCCTGAAACGAATGCAGATATCCAAAAAATTCTGCGTCGGATCGAATTGAATTATGTTGAATTGAAGCTTCGCGTATTCTTCCTTTTTACTTTGTTCTTTGATTGAAGTCGATAAAGCACGGCCGCGCAGTTCCGATTTGCGATGATACTTCGTTAAACTATACAAGGCACTGACAGAGCAATAAAGTTTTCTTTTCTTCTTTTCTTTTTCAATACAACCATAAGAGATCGATGCGAACGTCTGGATACTTTTTTTTTGTTTTTTCGGATATCCGCATGAAATACTCTCGTCGCATTCTCTGCAGTCACTCAAGTATCTTAAAACACTATTCGTAATCGTTAGAATATTTTCTCTGGACGGCTAAAAATCTCTGTCTGCGATAAAATTTGCAAAGGACAAAATTCGAGTCGCTCGTCTAACGCTTTCAACATTTTCAAGACGTGTGATGAGTATAACTAGATGAGGGAATTCATTCAGATTTGGAATCGCATCGGCATCGATCCCCTGATAATACGTACGATTGATGAATTATTAGATACTTTTGAAAGCTAACGTTTAGGCTCTCATCGATACCGACTCGTTAACGAATATAATTCGTCACTCATCAGCCAAAGGAATATGTATATATATATATATATATGTATGTATGTACAAGTAAAATCGAATGGACGAGTCACACGTTCCGTAGTAAATTGTAACGAGAAGGCTGAAAAATATATATCTCTAGCTTACGGGCTTACTGCTCTATATGATGATTGGAATATGACCCTTAAATAACAATATATAAGTACCTTACTAATTACACGGTAATGATAACAATATGACAATAGATATTCTAAGTACCGGTTTTTGAGCTTCATCACTTAAAACAAACTAATTTCACTCTACTCCCGTTTCTCTCTTGCATTGAGTCTTTGAAATATGTCTCAAAAGCGTCAATAGAAGTTATACGTGTACGTAAATATATATATATATTCGATAGCATTGCGTATGGTTGAATCACAATACCGATATCATTATCGTTAACAAAAGAAGGGACGGGGGCGGTTTGTAAATTTCACTACTCCATAATTAAAATATTTCTAATGACTAGCTAACCTAGTTCGAGTTTTTATATCTCTTTCCTGTCTTATACTTTTGCGAAAAAGTCGATTATCTCTTTTCATTCGTTTTTTTTCTCTCTTTTCTTTTTTTTTAAGATGTGACGAGTTGGCGTGATCAACCAGAAGACAATGGCTACCGGTAGGTGAGTGAGCGTGAATTCACTCACGAATTAGTGAGCTTTGCTGAGTGTTAACCTTGTGGTCAAAGCTGCTAGGACAGGTTGATTCGGATGGTACTTACGTGACGGTATTTTCTTGAATACTGTCTTGGCCATAAAGTCTTGAAAGCGTTGCGCGTAAAATCCTGGTCGGTGAACCGATACGGTATCCTGCGAAAGCGAGAAACGCTCTTTCTATATCACTGGCGACATTGGTCGACGTCGACAAAAGTTGAGAGAGAGAGAAACGGAAAGAAGGAAAGAGAGAAAGAAACTGAATTCGAACGAAGAAGAATTCGAGCCTATGTATATATACATATATGTATATCTTACTTACTCCGTCGTGTATCATTGATTTCCACGTATGTTCGAGCTTTTTCTTCAGCCTGTAGCTCTGCAGAATGTCGATAATGCCAAGGAATAATAAGAGACGTTCACCACGTGCGTTCCTGGCAGGAATGCCGCCTGAACTGTTGGGGCAAACCGAGAAAGAGATGGGAGGGGAGGGAGGAGGGCAGGGGAAGAGAGGGTGAGAATGAGAAACGTATAAATGTGAGATTTATTCTAATCGAACGACACATCTCTCGACGCAGGTACGAGCAGGCCGTATAAAATACGATACTTACGGTACATCATCCTCTTCGTCTATCGGCTCGCTTTCAGCCTGAATACTCTCCATCGCGGTACTATGAGCAACCAACCTTTGACGGTTTATACTGCGTGATCGATTCAAAGCGGCGGCGCCTATTCTGTCCTCCCTCTCTTTTTCCCTCTCGACGTGAATGAATCCGCCACTTTCGCCTTCCCCTTCCTCATCGGCGCTCGCCGATAATCTTTGTTCTTGCTGCAATGTATAGCACAATGCAAGATGCATAATATAAACATTATCGTCGATATCTGGCGTGATAACGAAGGGGGAGAGACACGCATTTTACACGATCACTCACAGCTTTTTCCTTCGCGGCCTGGTCGAGATTGTGAATCCCGACGAGCAGCGAGTAATCCATGATTTTGAAACTCTCCAACACGCGACAATCGCGCTGAATAGTTTTCACCAGCGCGCCGTACGTATCGGCTTCTAGAAAGATCCCCTCGGGATGGTGTTCGATGAAATCCAGGTCTTTGTACGTCGGAGAAGACTTCGAGCGCTCTGATTTCGATGCCTGCAATTTTCAATCGCGATTATCAACGCGATATCGTGAAGTTGCACGTGTCGAAGAAAAATTATATACTGGGTGTTCTGGACCAATAGGACAAACTTCGTAAAGCGTGAGGGGACAAATTGAGAACGAATTCTCGAATTATTAATTAAAGAAGCCTCTATACATGGCCATTTTCAATAATTAATAACTTGAAATCTTACGTGTTGTTTGAAAAATGGCAGAGGACTTTTTATTCACCTCAATTCGTTCTACGCCCTCACGAGATTTGTCTCCGTTGGTCTGGGACACCCTGTATATCGTAATATTACAAACCTTTCTCTTGTACGTCGATCCTTTCAGATCATACTTTTGATGCAATTTTACGGACGAGGGTAGAAGATTATTCATAGCCACTAACCTAACATTCTTACTATTACACCGATAGCAATACAATCCAAAAAACTTTGGCAACAATGTTCTTGGATTCTGATTCAGATTCTGCGGAAGAAGAAGAACAAGGGAGTTCGACGTTATCGAAGACGGCATTATCCGAAGTGTGCGAAGTAGCAACGCGTATTCTAATTGAGCTCTCGTGGGAACACGTACCATGTAATATCCTGGAAGTAGAGTCTGTAAAAACTCGCCTTCTTTGTGTTGTACAGTCTTTATGATAAATTCATCGTCCTCCGTTAGATAAAAGATACTCCCACTAGCGCCAGGATTCGACAACTCACGCAGCGGCGCGCTACACATCGACATCTATATCGCAAGCGTGGAGAAATTTCGCCATTAGCACACAAAAACCTCACACACAGCGACAGGCATGTAACAATATTCACGGGCTGAGAAAGATCTCTCTGACGGAGCTCTTACTGAGCCCGTTTCCTCTCTCTCTCTCTTTCTCTCTCTCTCACCAAAAAGTCGTCCGGTTGAATGCCAAAGAGATCCCTAAAGTAACGAAATGCAATGGGCGCGTAGTTCTTAAATTTGAACTCCGAGAAGTGGTGGGCCGGAGTGTGATTCGATCCCTCGCTGGGAAAGTTCGTTGTCTCCACTGTCATGAAGTCCTGCATCAACAAGTCGCGCTCGGGCTTGCTCGCAAGACCACCGACCGCGTGCTGTATGCCCAACTGGATCGATCCCATGATCTGTGTGGTTTGGATCTGCGTGCGACACAAAAGAACGTATGTTTAATCTGATATTTTATTCGGCTCTTGCAATATGTGGAGAAATTCGATTTCATTCGGTTTCCGCGAGTTAGCGCCACATGTTCCTCACGCATTTATTCCCGGCGTTTCGCCAACATTTCAGTTCACTTCTTCGAAGAGAGGAACGACCAGGAATTTAGAGAACTAATTTCGTTCCTCTCCGTGAAGAAGCGAACTGAAATGTTCGCGAAACGTCGGAAACGAATCCATTCCGAGAGACGCGATGCTAACTCGGAAGCCAGATTAAGCAACACATATTAACTCATTGGGAAGGTCTCGTTCGAGCGATGAAGTCACACAGATGAAACAGTTCCGTCGATATAATTGAATTTTCCGTTGCCTGGGGACCGGGCGAAAACTCGGCTGTACGAACGGAGAAATTCCTGTAGGAAGTTTCTATTCTGCGTCAATTGCTCCCGGGTGTCCCAGCCGAGTTTAAACGCAGCCGAATGTTCACACGAATGTTCTCTCAGTTGTAATAACAGAGATATTTTCCGTCACCGAGTTTTCATTTCCTGTCACCGAGTCTTCATCTGGACGATCACGTAATTGCTCATTAGAGCGGAAACGTGAAGATTTTTAAATACTTTCAAATTAAAACATTTCCACCGTTCACGAGTTCATGCTAGAGGTCGCGAATCTCGTACTCTAACGTGAACTCGTGAAAAGTGGACATTTTCTAATTTGAAACTATTTGAAAACGTTCACTTTTCACGTTTCCGTCCTACACGGGAAAAATATTAATAAAAATTGTAATAAAAATTACCACAAACTTTTGTAATGCTGGACTGTACTGGAATTATAACTGATATCATGACGTGTGTCGCTAACTTTAATGATGTATTTCCTGAGTACACATCACTAAAGATTACAACGCACGTGATAACTTTAGTCATAATTCTGGTACGGTTCAGCGTCGCAAGATCTCGTGTCAATTTTCACCGCAATATTTTCCCCGTGTGTAAGGAAAAATCACGTGATCGCTGCCCCAGGCCCCCATTCAGTCGGTAGGAACTGAGTTCGTTATCTTCCGTGCACTATTAGCGAGCTTCACTCGGCGAGACAGCCTGCAACTTCATTCGCGTGGCGGAAGGCTCCAAGGATGAAACCGTCCGTTAGAATCTCTTAACGTACCTTCTTATACGTGATTTCACCACCCACACCCACTCTCCGATGGCCGATCTTTCTTTCCCGTTCCGATTTGTTTCTCGATACCCCCACGGGGGCCTTGCCACCTGTGATGCCATGTTGCACTACTGAGCTCTGCAAAAATAATCGTCGATGTATCACTCACGACGCGTCCAACGTGCGTCTCGGCTGGCGTTGTATCGCGGTTACACATCGCTCTAATTATTATTACCAGATACGGTTCGACTATAATACTAAATTGTATACAACACTTCGGGCACGAAAGCTTCAACCGACGAGACACCGCGAGACCAGCGTTACGCAAGACCGAATAACGCGCGTCCACGTATCGCCGAATGTATTGTCCGTTGATACTCAACGCCGGTGTGTATAAGTGCACAAAGAAAAAGCTGTCCCCCTCCCTTTCCTCCCTGACGAAGTCACTCGGAGTCATTCGAGTGAATCATTAACTGATAATGGTGTTTGTGAACGCCGTTGTTTTTGCCGCTGTTCTCTCGCGAGACTGTGCGCGCTCGGCTGCATCCCTGACACGAACCGTGAACCGTGATACTCCCGAGATAATGATTCGTAATGACTTTTCGTTTCTCGCCGATTCGTCTCGTGGACCGAGCCGTGCGAGCCGCTCGGAATTCGACGAGCCGTTTTTTCCTCCGCGAATTTCGCCTTCCCCGACCGCGCGTTCGGGAGCTTCGCGAGCGCGCTGATCACCGATGACGGGCAAATTGACTGGGGCCGGGTCTACAAAAATAGAAGTGATTCCGCAAGTAAACACAACGCCACCGACGCGAGTACACACCTGGTGCGAGACCGGCCGTAAATAGAAAATTAGAGGGAGCCGATATAATTCGCTATTGATTCGCTTCCAGTGAACGCGGCAATCTCGCGAGGTATGATTTATTCCGCACACGATCCCTTTTTTCCTATTCGGGGAAACGCTAATTTCGGTCCGCGGCGCGTTGACGTTTAAATTCAGGCGCTGCTTAAAATTTAACGGGCCGGCCACTCGCGGACGTAATTGCGATGTAAGAATGTAGCGATCGCGATTAACGGCGTACGCGTAATACGCGGATCCGCGACGCGAAAGCGGAACAACGTTAATGGGAAAGAATTAAAGGACCATGAGAGATTCAGCGGCACTTTGTGAATCGGAGCGACACGCCTCTCCGCCGATACTTTCTTTCGAAAAGTACATTTATTCGGAATGAAAGTTACGTTACGTTCGAGATAGAGTGCGCAAAGAACACGTATATATGTGGAAAGATGGAACACTTTATGGATAATTAGCTTATTACGGGACATAAAAATTGCGTTACGTTAAAGTTATGTCGGTCGCGTTAGATTAAAATTATATTAAAGACATTACGGACACGGACATGCGATACACGATGTAAAATTGAGATCGCAACGCGGCTCTGGTGGAAATTTATGCAGTTTTTTAGATGGTGACGCAGTTATCGTCTAGTACTAATGTATTCTCATTAGTTATGAGAATACTGCGTAGAAAATGGACGAGAAGTTGATTAAGAGTTTTATTCAGGAACACTTCCAAAGCAAAATTGCCCATTTCATGAATAGCAGGCTTACTTATTAATCAAATAGTTTTTTTGTTCATTTATTGTTCTGTTCTCGTTCAGTAAATTTCAAGGTTTAAATTTTGCGTATCTTTTGTGCGCAGGAACTTCAGGAAAAACGTTACATCTTGATTGAGATCCCCAAGTAATTTTACTTCTCAGTTACTAAAGAGAAGTTAATAAATTGCCGAGTAACTGCTCAAAAAATGCGTGAAATTTCCAGCAGGGTGTTCGGGCTAATTAAATTGCGCGATGTTCACGTCTCCTCTTGAAAAAATGTCTCGACAACGACAAAAATTATTATTTAATCAGCTAATGATCTTTTTTTCTACTTACGTCAAATGCCGTTGTTTTTTCTCCGCTCGACTTATCTGTAAAAGAGTTGCAAATGCTTAATTACGTAGAACGGTATATAACATGCGTATATATATATATATATTTATGTGTATTCGATAATAAACAGAATATGTAGTAGATAACGCATGTGCGTGCAACGTACGTGGAAATGAGGCGGTACGCAGAGTACGAGCTGCCACAATCGAGGAATTCATCATTTCTTTCATCATAATATTTTCTGTCCGTGAAATTATTCCCGAGAAGGAAAGAGAGAGTAGAGATATAATGCGCGTGTGCAAATATACGGGCGACACACGCGCACACACACACACACACAAACATATATACGAAACGTTGAAAAAAGTTGGCGCCAAACTTCCGTATTACGTAGTACTCATCGAAACACACAAAATAATCTGAATAAAAATGGGCCAAAAAACTTGTTTTGAAGATGTAAGAATATTATTTTTCACTTGATGAATGTATAATTTAAAAACGAATGATTTTTGAACTCATGTTTATTAATATTTATTATATTTATTATTATAGTTTTAAAGGTTAATGGTTAAAAAACTTTTTTTTTCTATTTTTCTGTGATCCTTTTTAGTTTCTTTCCGCGAAAAATGTGAACAAATGTTTTTTTTTTCCTTCGGTTTCCTTCCACGAAAAAGTTGAAAAAATGATATTTTTTTAATTATTTGTTACGTTTATTGAAAAGGAGAGAGAGAGAGAGATACAGTTCGTTATTTTTTGTTATCGGTTCATGCACTATTAACCGCGTATCACCCAAGTTGGAAGTACACGTTAAAATAAAAAGCCTACATAATTACGAGGGACACTTCGAGGTTAGTAGCTCGAATTTCGAGGAATTATCACGTACCACCTCCAAATTCGAGGTGCTAACCTCGACATGTCCCTCGTAATTACACAGGGTTTTTATTCCAACGTGTACCTCCGACTTTGACGATGCAGGAGTAACACTGTAGACGAAAAATCTTGTCTTCGAAACGAATGACTTTTAGCTCCATTTTCGTAAAAGCTGTTTTGTTTGTTTAATAGGTGCTCCTAAAGTTTGACGGGAACTTTTTTACCTGGTACGAACATCCCAAAACATACCGACTCAAGATGAAGTTCCGATGGGTCGCGTGATCGATCGAGTTCGGGGTTAATTCCCCCGAAAACGTGCTTCGAAAACCTGAATATAACGGAGGCGCGCGCGACAGAGACTTTCGACGCGGCATTTTTGCACGATCGATTCATCGGGGCCCATTTCCTCCTCGCGCGCGTGCGACGCGGTGCGAACGCACGTTATGCGTCCCGGTTGACGATCGACGAGCCTTCGGCGACGACGGGATATGTCGGCGGATGAAGCGTATAATAATATTCCGCGTCTACTTCCGCGTACCTCCGCATTACATATTCGCTATTAAACGTAACTATTTGACCTTTGCAGCGTGTCACTATGGCGCTCCTTTGCGTTAACGTCGGAAATAATCGCGTGGCTTCACGTATGCTATTGCAGATTATCCGCGTGCCGCGTTTAATATTGCGTCTCGCAAGCAAACGGAGGAAGGAGGAGTATTCAAATACTGATTCCTCTTGTTTAAAACAATACACCTTTGTCACGTGGAAAAAAAGTTCGGTCGAACTTTTTACCTAAGGCATCTGATAATGAACAAATCACAGCGCGTTTTGATCGAAGGAAACAGAGTTCTCGGTTCTTGTGAATTAAATTCGGTTTTTACGATCAGAAATTAATAATAATAATGATAACTTTATTTATTCCGGGCAATTTGCTAGATAAAGTATAACGATACAAAAATAAGAATTAAAAATAAAATTCCGTTTCCTTCAACCAAAACGCGTTTTGGTTTGTTCATCGTCAAACAAACAACAGGTTCAAACAAACAGCCCTGTTTTTCCACGTGCAGTGGCAGTGGAGAATCGTAGAGCACTTTTACCCTGACGAATTTCAGAACGCATTCGGCAACCGACAGGAAGATTCATCTTCTGAGAATCACTAAAACACCAAAGCCCATATTAATAGTCGTAACTTGAAACGAGACATTCAACTGAGTTTATAATTAGAGATCTGAGTTTCTCATTTGGATTATACGATTCACGTCGCGTTGTATTTGTAATCGCGATGTCGCGGAGGAACTCGTGTCAATTCAGATCTCGGCGTGTCATTTGAGACAAGTTTCGGGTAACGATTATTAAACTGCACTGAGAGAAAAATATTTCTAATTATGACCATCATGGTGGATGAATTATAATCTGGGATGAGCCATTTTTTTAATCAGTATTATTACCGTAGTTTCAGCGATAATAATATTACGCGTACATCGCTGCTGCAATTTTTGTGATTAAAAGAGTGTAGTCGAAGTTGAAAATAACTATAATTTCTCTCGGTGCGATATTAATTCAAGTTACCCAACAGGCCAAATTTCGCCATCGGACATATGCGCGTTGCGTAATTCATTGGGAGAGAAAAAAACCACCGTAGCCTCACCGCCGCTGGACTGTATGACGCAGCACGTCGATGAATTTTAAAAGGAAGCGACCGTGTTTTTTGCCGCTTGTGCGCGCCGAACACGAGTTCGGGGGCACAAAGACACACACACACGCTGTGAACCGCCAAACCATTACGGCGCGGTCAATCGGCGGAGTGCGAGCTCTGAGTTACGGCGTTATCGATTTGGACAGCGCGCAGCCGGCGACAGGTAAAGGTAACAACGACACGTGGACGGTATTTAGGGAGACACCTATGGATCGCAACATACACAGACATACACGCGCGAGCGCGCATGCAAGTACACCGTCGCGTCGTCGTGTGATTATCGAATGAGAAAAAAATAGCCGGCAGGACGGAGGAGCCTGCGGAATACGATGAGAAAGAAGGGTGCAACGAGTCAAGATGTCCTTACATAGCCCTTTATTTTTAACACCCCGGTCTGCCGTTGTGAGCCGGCCTCTGGCTCAGACGATCACGGCGATCTTTGTCCGGTCGAAAGACGTTCTCGCAACAATGAGGACCGAACACGCAGCGCGTCAGCCCGAGAACGCCCATTATCGGCGTCGTTAGCGAAATTTTTCGAAAAGCCGGGCCTCCAGTTTACGCGCGATGTTTATCGGAGGAGACCGCGGTTCGCGCGTATAAATAACCGCGAATCCCAAAACGTGCGAAACCGCGCGCGCAGTGACAATCGTGAGTTACGTAAATGCCATTTACACTCTCGCGTCCCGAAGATAACGGAGGGATCCTTCGCACGAGGGAACGAGAGAGGGGACACACGTCTTGTCCGCAATTTCTCGTTGCTCGCCGCTCTCGACGTTTGAATTGAATTTTTTTGGTGCTACTCTGACGCTTTTACGCGGAGAGAAGGATTTTCCTGGATTTAGTTACACGTTTGTTTGACTTGGGTTTACTTAATGTAAATAATGTAATTTAATATCAAATATCATTTGGTTGGCATGAAAATGTTGTTTCGTTAAAATAAACCATTGTTGCTTGATAGAAAAAACAATATTATTCAGATGAAATATTTCGTTTTCAAGAGAAAACATTTATTTGATCATATATTAAATAAATATTGATTCATCGAAATACAAAGTTGTTTAATATTTCTCTAACATAGTATTATTTCTTTGAAATAATTTATTGCTCGTGACAATCATTATGATGTTTGTGTGAAAATACGGGAGAAATATGTTATTTGACGGTAAAGATATTTATCGTTTGAAAAACTAAATATCGTTTGTTGAATCAAACATTCGTTTGTTTGCGCCCTTTTAAAAGACAAAATTGTTTCGATGAAAGAAATTTTATTAAATACAAGAAAATCTTTTTCTCTAAGAGGAGATGCCATACGTGAAAATTTTACTGACAAAATACTGATTTTCCTCTGCGAAGTTTACGTCTTATTGGCTGCACAGAATTATAAATGCTTCTACACTGAAAGTACGCGGGGAAAATGAATTGGAGTATTGCTCAGTATGCGGCGAAAATGAGTAAAAATTTCCAAATGACATCTCTAACTGTCAGTTAGCGTAAATATTTACCTGATAAGGAAATCCTGTAGCTTATACGTACTGAACGTGTCAATGCTCCGATCAGGAAAATTTCAAAGAATATTCTTATGCTTTCTTAACGAAATTTAGAGACCTAAAAAGATGTGAAAAATTTGCAGAAGAATTTTCATATGTATTGGCTTGATTTTTCGTTAGATGTGAAAGAAAAAAAACAGAGCGTGACGTACTCATCGCTTTCATACTTATATCGAATTTACGTTTATGCAAGATCTATATGTACGAAAAACACAAAAAGAATAGCGTGATCACATCAATATTTATATAACATTTCGAGATCACCTCTAAGTTATCAAATTCGTCAACGACCTTGGTATTTCCTTAAGGAAAGTTTGCAGTAGTAACTTAGTAACTTAATAACTTCTCTCTTGAATCTTTAATTCTACAAATTTCACTTTAATGTTATTTTGAGTCATTTTGACGCTAAAACGGCGAAAACGGGAATTTAGGATATCGAGATCAAGGTAGGGGTAAATCATATTATTAGAATTGTGAAATTGAATTTATTTTGCTATGCTAGCTCCTGTGTTGTAAAATGAAAGGTTTAACACAGGGCCGAAATTGTCGACTCGGTAGAATCCGGAGGAGTCGGCCGTTTCGAGCGATATACCGTGTGCCGCGCGCTGACCCTCGCTATTTTTACCGTCCTTAGGAATAAAGAGGAGCAAAGAAATACGGACATACAGCGGTCTCGCGTGCGCACTCTGTCTGTCTGAATTAAGACGCCCGCTGAACGTAGGAAGCAGGAAGAGGAATTGAAACCGCTGAATATACGCGCGATATGACAGTGTTCCCACATTATAATTCAAGCGCGTTCAAGGATAAAGCGCGAGAGAGACGTTGCCGCGGTTTCTTCTATCCACCGAGTCGGATCGAGGCCACGCGAAGAAGAAATGAAAAAGACGGAAGGGGGGAAAAACGGAAGAAAAAGCTGGTAGAGTTCAGCGGAATTGCTTATTCCGCCAAGTGGCTTTGACTCGCGGCGAATAAACCCAGGCGAAACACGTAACTCTGTGAGAGATTTTTCGTGGAGGAAGTCTCGCCCGATAAGAGCGACGGGAACCTGTTATCGGGTACGAAGAATACGTAGGAGCGACAACTTTCCAATCCGCGCTCCACTTTTCCGCTCGCTGTTTCCCGTCTCGGAGAGGAAAAATTCACACGTACACACGACACCGTCGCAGCGGCGATAACGAGCGAATGTTATCTCCATATCGGAATGTAAAGAGCATGACGAGGACGATGACGTTATTTCTCTCTTGGCGGCCGCGTGCACGCGAGTTACCGCGTGTTATTTTCTCTCCAGCCAGCCAGGCCGATGCCTATCGGCTGTCAAATGGCGGGTTGTCAAGCTCGGACACGGCAAACACATCGCGACGCGTCGAGTCACGGCGATCATCATCCTTCACGCTCGTCACGTGTAACGTAACACACGCACACACCTACGCGAGTTGCAAATCAACATCCCCCGGAGTTTACGAGTAGAATAACGCGGGGGCTGCGGCTGGGAATGTGGACGAACGTGCGCCACCCGGTCGGCGACTTTGAGACTCGAACTTGCCCTTAATCCAGCTGACGCCGACGACTCCTGGTATTACGTTTACACGAGCGTACGGGGAGGAGGGGGGTCTCGCGTGAAAATGTTCAAAGCCGCGTCCGCTGATCAGAAATGACTGATCTCTTGAAGAATACTTCGCTAATATCGTGTGGATTTTCGATTTTTAATACCGAGTACTTCGATGAGCATCCAATAAACAATCCCTTGAAAAATAAAAATTAAATGAAACGACTGCGAAGGCAAAAGTTTGGGAATTTGAAATAGTTTAGAAAAGTATCCTTCGATTAAAAATGATTGACGTCTCGGGGAATGTTTCACCGTCGGAATTTTATATTTTTAATATCGAGTATCTCTTTTGATGAACATTTAATAAAAAATTCGTTAAAAAAATATTACGAGAAACAACTGGTAAGATAAAAATTTAAAGACTTGAAATAGCTTCCAAGCGCGTTCTCCGAGTGAAGATGACTGATGTCTCGGGGAATATTTCACCAGCATCGTATAGATTTTATATTTTTAATATCGATTATCCCGATGAACATTCGATGAAGATTTTGTTCAAACAAACATTTTGTGAAGCGCGACTGAAAAAGTACAAATTAAAAAATATGAAATACTTTAAAAGCGCGTCCATTGACCGAGGAGATGATTGATGCGAAACTCGAAAAGTATTTCAACATCGTATGGATTTTTAATATCGGATATTTCGACGAACATCCTCCCCGACGAAGAGAATTCATTCAAACAGAAATTACATGAGACGGCCGAAAAGATAAAAATTTAAGGATACGAAATATTTTTAAAGCGCACCTTTTGGACTGGACAGATGGTCGAGATCTCGGAGAGAATATTTTATTGGAGCCACGCGCGCATATGGATTTTAGATTGTCATACCGGTAATCCTTCAGATGAGAATATCGAATGAAGAATTCGTCGAAATAAAAATTATGTAGAATGATGAAAAAGATAAGAATTCGAGGACAAGGAATATTTTAATTAAAAACTCATCTTTTGACGACTCGAGGTGATTGATGGATGATGTTTATTGACACCGTATTTTAAATTTGAATTTTCAATTCTCAACACCGAGTATCTCGATGAGCATACAACGAAGAAATCGCTAAAATAAAAATTACGCGAAAAGAACTGAAAGGATAAAAGATAAAGGAAGATTTTAAGCTGCAAACTTGGAAGAAGCGCATCCTCCGACCCGAGATGATCGATATCTCGGAGGATACATCACCGGCGCCGTATGGATTTTAGATTCTCGGTACCGAGTGACTCAGGAAGCTGAAAGGAGAGCTCGCCAAGATAAAATTAACATGGAACTAGCAACAAAACAATGAAGATTTAAAGACGCGAACGGGGATTCCGCCAGCTCCTCGTGAAAACTTTACAAGCTCATCCTCCGACTCGGGATGATCGATACGTCGGAGAATATTCCGCCGGCGCGATGTAGATCACGGATTTTCAAGGAAAGCTCGCTCGGACAAAACTTGCGCAAAACAAAACCGGGAAGATAACGTGACTGGCCGCTCGTTATGTTTCTAAAGTAAAGTTTCGAGACTCTTTTATATTTCCGATGTTAAAATTCCTTCGTAATTACGTAATGCGGAGCGCGCGGTATGGAAGAAAGTGTGTCATGCGTGGAATACATTGTCTCACAAGAGGACGCGATAAATCTACCACCACGTTTGAATCGGTTTGAACATAATACAAACACAAACACACACATAAACACACATCGTATATCGCGTGCATGTTTAAACGCTTCAAATACTAATTACCGTCTCGACGAGAGATTCTCATTAGACAACTCTGTAATTCCCGGTTGTGTCATTTGTCCTGTCATCGACGACTCTTTTAACGATGACGAGGTGCGCGCGCTTCGGCAAAGCGAACGATAAACCGGAGTCTCGAAGATTTTCTCAAAAAGTCACGAGGCGAAAGTTCACGTTTATGCCCGGTGGACGCGATCCACGTTCGTCCGTGCCAATTCACAGCGATCGGCAGCCGTCAGCTGTCAAATCACGGCCGATCAATCAACAAGAAGCGGCGACGCGTCTTGCATGCGTACATGTGTGTGTATGTGTGTGTCCATACAGCCTTCGATACCCGTAATCAATTAAATTCCCAATCCGCCTCTCACGCGGCCGTCTCGCTCTCGCCAACGGAGCCAAAGAAATATCTAGCGGAAAGCTCGACTCGCAGGTTATGTCGGGATTCTCAGAAAATGTGAGTGCGTATGTGTGTGTGCATGTGTGTACGCGAGCATCGTCCGTCGCGATCGATCGCTCCGAAAATTCGAATCGTTCCGAGAAAGTGCGGAGCGCGTCTCCGGCGGCGCGCCTCGCCGCGACGACCATCGCGAAGACGGGAGCTCTCACGTCTGAGCCACTTTGTAGGTCGCATGACACCCATTAGCTGTCAAACCGTAAGACGGCGGATTAGCGGGCTTCGATCGGCCGCGACGTGCTCCCGTCGTCGGCGATCCCGTCGCGGCCGAGCGATCGATGACGCGCTTGTGCACGGTCGCTTGCGCGTTCCGTCCGGCGGTTCGTTTACGCGGATCGTCGCCGAGCGAGGAACGACGCCCGAGCGCGACGACGCTGCATCCGGAGTCGGTCTTGCTTTCTCTCTTTCTTTCCCTCTCTATCTTGCTCTTTCTCCATCTCGCTCACTTTCCCACACGCTACACACACGTTCTCTTTCCCTCTCGCTCACTCGCTACCTCTCTCTCTCTCTCTCTCTCACTCGCTCTCACGCGCACGAAGTATAGGTTAGGTCAGTACCGAAGGTCGACGTCGCGGACGCGGTGCGCGTACTCTGGACGGTGCGGGGTACTCACAGTCCTCCTCGGCGGACTGCTCCGCCCGGTGATCCAGCATGGGTGGCGCCGACCCGGAAAAACTCGTCTCGACCACCTCGATCACGTCCACATTATCGCCCGAAGCCATTTTGCGTGCGTCGCCTCCGTCCGATCACGCACTGACTCAAGCGCGGCGGTGGTGGCGGCGTCGGCGGCGATGTTGTTCGCTGCGGTGGTGGTGGTGGTGATGATGCTGATGGTGGTGGTCGTGGTGATGACGATGATCTCCCTGACAGTTCCCCGTAGTAGGTGACTCCTCGATTGTCGCGTTCTCGCCGACCCGCAGCGGACGCATGTTTCGACGACGACCCGCTGTGTCGCGCGCGCGCGCGCGCGGGCGGGCGGCTCCCCGTCGGGAATTCGCCGCGATCCTCCGGGCGATTATTGCGCGAGCCGTCGGCCTCGGCGTTCTCGTCGTCCTCGTGGCGGGATCTCGCGCGGCATACCGCGTAACGCGCGTCTCTGCCGCGAAGACTACACTTCTCTCGTGGCTGCGGCTGGCACGACGGCTCCCACCAGCTCCGAGAGGTCCCCGAGAGAGCGCCTCCGAACACCCTTCCGTCCGTCGTTTATCGACCGGACGGCGGCGAGCCGCGATCCTCGCGCCGTCTGGCGGCCGCCAGGCGAGTCCGATCCTCGGCGCGAGAGCCGTTTGAATTCTCGCGCGCGCGCGCGCTGGCGGCCGAGGTCAAAAGAGCGGTCGAGATAATTGGGGAACTTGAGATTGGGTCGCGGGAAATCTTCGGGGGATCTCGGGAAATTGGTATCTCGAATTTTGGGAATTGCTGAGCGGGCGCGCCCGGGTGTCGCCGAGTCGCCACGGAGTTGCCGCTGATTTGACTCGAAGAGCGCTCTCGGTCGCGGGAATGAGGCTTTGATTGAGATGGCGGCTGTGATTGCGATGCGAATACGCGTTGGTAGGTGTATCTGAATGTAAATATAATTTAAATTTGAAATATGTAGTTACTTGAAATAGGCACGTTGCTTTATATTTTATCTGCGGTAAGTATATCAGGTAAGTATTTCGTGTGACACAACATACACGCGACAGACGGACGAGTTTATATTGTTGAGCGAAGAAAGGAGGTTTCTTATCGACGTACCTTCTATTAGCGACACTACTGTGAAAGATGCACAGATGGCACTCCATCGCAGTGATGAGACGCTCGCTATCCTCTTACTATGATATAATAAGATAAATATCCGTAAGGCACACACACACAGATAAATTTAATACTTATCATAGCAATATAAACAGGTTTAAAACAGATATGTACGTAATGTTTAAGTATATATAATACATAATATAGAGACATATTAATTAAATATATTAATTAAAAGGTTTATCTTTATATCTCGGTAATAGTGATGTGTAATGTGCTCTTAAATTTTTTATCTTTAGTTATATTCAGTTATTAATTTAAATATTATATATTCAGTTATTAATTAAATATTATAAGCAAGGAATTCTCTGTCTTTCTGATTCTTCCTGATATCGAATTATATATGTTCGTATACGACATTGTAGCGTTTATACTTTTTATAGTCAAGATATTCCACTTATATGACATTTATATGTGAAACTCTCTGACAAAGTAAAGATTTTATAGACACAAATCGATACTAGAATAATTTTAGCTAACCTCACCAATCTTATACGTTTTCATAATGAAAAAACCCGAAAAATTTATGAATAAATATCTTCAACGCGCGTGGTATGTCCATTATTTCGACTACTTCATAAACCACGCAAATCGATAGTGCTTGAAAAATGGCAAATTTCACTTAATACAAAGTTCGCTAATGACAGTTTACAGCGAGATTTGTAAATTCCTACGTTTATGATTGCTCTAGGTGGATATAAATATTTCGCGCTTATTATCCACAAAATGTATTTGTATAAAGAATAGATCTTTAAATGCATAAACATAACAGTGCGCTTGGTAAGTGTTTGTCGATCGGCCGACATAATTCCTCGTATTATCGTGTTGTTTATTTTCCAGCCGCATTATGATTAAATTAAAAGGGCTCCTGGGCAGGATATTGCTGCAAAGAATATTGCTGTTGGGCATCAACGGTGCGATCGCACGTGAGATCTTAACTGGCTATATCGAGTACAACAATCAGGTTATATATCTCGAAGTTTCTCGAAATTTATCAATTTCTCTCAATTATCTCAATTATAACCGCACTATATTAAGAGAAAAGATCGCCGCTCAATATTCGGCTGCAAATACGTTGAAAGTTTTTTCTCGATACGAGAGAATTTGAAAATGTATCGGCTCGCCTTTAAGAGTGAGGTCACTTCGTGTCGAATTGCTCGAATTCCCGGAGATTATAACGACGAGCTGAATCAGTTTCCGTTTCGTCGGAAAACAAATCGCGCGCGGGACACGGCGATCAGTCACGAGCGTTGCGTATCATTAATTCATTATGTCGGCCGCGCTCATTACGGCACACATCGATCGCGCAAAACACTCCGTGTATAAAACGTTTCGCTTAATGTGTACCTGGACAGACGAGATTTATGCCGCGGAACGTGTAATTAATTATCAAACTGCTCCGCAAAACTTCCGTGACTCGCTTGCGCGGTGCCTGTTGCTCCTCGTCTCTCTCTCTCTCTCTCTCTCTCTCCATCTCTCTCTCTCTCTCTCACTTCCGCGTGAGAAAATTGATAGTAGCGGCTCACTTTCAATGAAATCTCCCGTCCGGACCTGCAGTTTCGGGCCATTTTTCAATTGCCTTTCGGCGAAGGTATCTGAGAAAGCGCTTGAAATGAAATGCGCACTTCGGATATTCGACACAGGATATTCTAAACGGCTTAGCTTTCGAATTCTCTAAATTTTTTATAGCGCAATTTCAGAACTGGAAAAAATTAATTTGATGAAAATATATAATATCGCCCATTCGGAATAGCTCAAGAGTGAAACAATCAAATTTACACAGAAAAAGTAACTCTGTTCCTGACTGAACAGGGACAAAATAAAAATTCGGTGACAATAAATGATATCTCTGTTATCGCGACTGGGAATATTCACATTCGTGTATTCATATTCAGCTGTATTAAAACTCGATTAACACAACTGAGAACTAACTGCGTAGAAAGCTCCTACAGGAATCTTCCTGTCCCTACGATCGAGTTTTCAACAGGCAAATTTTCAACCCATAGTAAGTAAATACTTCAGTCGATTAGAATGGATATTTTTCTTGAAATACATATTCATTCTTTAATTTCGAACGAAACTCCGCTCGACAATTCAGAGTGAGTCCACAGCTTGTGAAGAATTCAATTTGTATGAGTGAAAAGTCACTCGAATTCGAGCGATTCGGCATTTTATGTTTTGAATAGACTAGAATAGGATCAACTTTATTATGCTCTAGGATAAGTCCTGCAAAAGCAACAAATGTTACAATATAACATAAAATGTAGGCATATAAATATAGAGGCGATCGCCGTGGGAAAAAGAAAAATAAAGAGTATAGTTTGCAAACAAATAATCATAACGAGAAACTAAAGTATATATAATGAGGTGAAGATGATTGCCGATTGACTAATGCTTTGTAAATAAAGATAACGACTGAAAATGGCTAGACTGAAGGATGATAACGAGAGCTTTTTAACCCTTTTAGTGCCGGGCGAAAAAGAGGTGCTTATGCGAAGATAACCGGCCGATTTTACTAGGATTTGGTAAAAGGCTCATAAAAACCAAACGAAAAGCAATATTTAAAAATTATTTATTTTAATTCTCTCGTAATGAAATTAGACTATTTATAACGTATTTTAAATTTATTTTGATAGAGATCTCTCGCAATGCGAATAGTAAAGCGCTACAAGGTGCGGGCCGATATATCGGCTCTGGCACTTCTCGCCGGTGTAGCAGGAGCCGATACATCGGCTCCCGGCACTAAAAGGGTTAATGGCCGAGGGCAGCGAGTCCCAACTGAGTAATGCCTGAAATTAAAGAGAATTTACGAAAAATATTTGCACGATGTCTTGGTGCGTCGAATTTCGAAATAATTCTGAGCGAAAGCAGGGGCGAGTAAGCAGCCAGACAGGGGCTAAATTCGGAATCGAGTCGCACCTGCGAGCCGCTATCTCTTAATTAATTACCGGCGGCTTTATTTAGCCGACCTACCCATTGTTGCAACGATCGTTATCGGCTCGATCGGCCGCGAGTGCGCGACCTTCGGCGCGGCGGGCGTTAGATCACTCGACCTATTCCACGCTGACCTTAATTCATTTGGCAAAAGGACGCGGTAGACTTTTGTTCCTCCCCCTCCCCGTTCGGCCGAAGTATCGCCGCTCGGAAAGCAGGCCACTTGCCACGCAACGTCGATTCCGCGGCTCGAACGTGGGGAAACTTTAATTACTCCGCCGGCGAAACGAACTTCGCCGTCGCGTTAGCGCGATACGCTAACCTTGTGTCTCTCTTTCTCTCCCTCTCTCCCTCCCCCTCTCTCGCTCTTTCTCTGCACGAAGGCGCTCGAGTACATGCGGTCGGTGTCGTATCGCCGAGCCGGGGAATCCGGCGACAGGTACGCGTACACCGAAGAGGAGTAACGAGCAGCTCGTTCCTCCGGTCGGAGCTGAGTCATCTGCGGGACGTCAAGATGCAGTCAGCGGAGAACAGAGAGAAGAACGAGCGGATTTCACGGTTCCGCGGCGGAACGCGCGGATCCAGCCGTGCTGCTCGCTGAATCACGCCCGGCGAGCTCGCTCTCGCGATGAAATTCGTACAATTGGTAACATCGAAAGAAATTCCAGATCAGTACTTTCGTCCTCGCGCGAACCGCACGACGGCCCTCGCTCGCTGTGCGAATCGACGACACACACTCGCTGTCGAAATTAAATTCATGCGTTTGAAATCAATTTCAGATCGATATTCTGGTTCTCGCGAGCCGTGCGATTATTTTCGCTCCTGAGATTAAATTTACACAACTGATGAAATCGAAATAAATTTCAAGTCGGTGCTTTTGGTTCTCGCGAACAATTGCGACAATTCTTCCTCTCTGAATCGGCGACGAACTTGCTCTCGAGATTAAATTTATACATTTGACAATGTTGAAAAGAAATCTTAGGTGAGTATTTTGTTTAGTAATTCTCACGAGTCATATGCGACAGTTCTCGTTCCTGAAATTAAATTTATACACATAACAGAATTAAAATGAATTTCAGATCGGTATATTTGTCCACACGAGTCACACAGCGACTATCACGCGTTGGATCGCATTGTGATTGCCGAACATCTCGCGTTTTTATCTTCGTATCTCGGGAAAAGCGCGAATCCGTGGTTTTCGGCGGAAATGCGGAATTGTTGTTCAGGAGATGCGCTCGGAAATTTACGACCGGCGATGAGCGACTAATAATAACGGAGCGTCTGTTACGTGATCGTGTGTAGCCAGATAATCTTACAAAAACAGATCTGTGAACGAGGAAAATTTGATGTTACGCTACCGTATTCTCTATATAATACGCGCAATTCCCGTCGCGCTTATCCCGACAAACACTGTGCGCGAGCTACCAGACAGGTACCGCGGTTGGCGAGCATTTATTATACCCGACCGAGCACAACTTTCGTGTATGCATAAGCTTAATGATTACATTGTACACTACATATGATGTCTTGTTTTGCATTCCCGTCTAGAAATATCGCGTGAAATAATAATGAATAATTCCCCAAAAACGAACGACCTCAGAGATAAGCGACGTGATAAGCGATGTGATCTCAAAGATCAATATCCCGTATAGATACGTATATGCAATAGCAAGGCGCGTTACGTGAATTAATGAGACTATTGTTAATTAATATATGTGTTTACGAATGAGATTAATCATGAAGGCAATCGCGCGTGATTGAAAGCAACTTAGGTATTCCGAGCAAGCAAGAGTTCCAGACGCAGATCCATCGATCCTTATTACCACTTTAGATACTTTCGTTCTATTATTTTATAATAATAATAATCTTTATTTATGAGAAAAAGGGAGTCTTTAGCATATATGATAAAATAATAATTCCGTACATGTGCAGAACATAAGGAAGAGAAATAACTGTTAATATATATGACGAGAAAAATAAAAAGTTAATTAATTAATTATATCAGTATATGAAAGAGAATTGAGAGATCGCACGCAAAGTAGGACCTTTAAATATATTACTGACGATGAATAGAAGAAATCAACCGAATTAGATAATGAATTCGTAACAACACAAACGATTTACATTAGAATACTTTCCGTATAGCGAATTTTTCCGGTTTATGCTGTAAATAAATAAATAAATATAAAACGACCTCGGACGTAACGGAGGAACGAAGCTATCGATAAGCGGCGATCGAACGTGTGACTTACGTATAACGCGATAAAGTCTTGCGGAAAGTTTTACGACCGTCGTCGAGAGATCCCCGTCACCGATGCGTCGAACTTACCGCCACTGGTAGGGAAAGTTCTCGCCGAGACGGACACAAAGGAATCGTTTCCACGACACGATCGCCACGCGATTCGTACGAGTTGTCGAGTTGATGATGTTGTCGATGGTGATGACGATGATGATCGATGTACTGTCGATCTGTCCGCCGGAGGAATACTCGCACGATCGATCGCAATTGGCGCGGACGTTTCGCTTGTGTGCTCGCTCTATACTCTATACGCTACCTGTACCTACCGCTACCGCTACCTGCAACGAAGCTATCTGCTCTGTCGCGCGGAGTCGCACGCGTTTTTATTAGCGCGCGCGGCCGGAATGATTTGTGACGACGCGAACTGTGCCGCGTTTGTCGGCGAGCAGGCGGAGCTGCTCGACGGAGTTCCTCCTCGACGCAGATTCTGGACACGACAGCCGACACAAAGATGTCATCGTCAAGATGAGAAACGAGGGAAACTTCCGATATCACGCCGCGGAAGATGACCGTTCGTGCTTTCAGAGACCTGAGGAAGCCTATCTATCGTTGCGTACCGTTTATAATGCGACGGATTAGACGGATAACAATTCCCTTTGTAACTTTAATTTTCATTGGGCTTTGATTAAAAAATTCCCTTGCGATTAAATTAAATTTATACATTAAGAATTTCGTATAAGAATCGAAATGCTGAAATACCAAATAAAAATGTGAATATTTGTGGACAAGAAGAGATGCGGACTCGAAGTTTGAAGTTATTTGATTACGATAGTTATGGATCAGTAACTCTCGCGTTCGCGAATAATGTAAACGGGAGAGCCGAAAGGAATGTGGAAGATCTAAAGATCGTAAATGGGGTAATATATACTGCTTGGTTAGGGATTAAGGGAATTTTCAGCAGGATTCCAGCTCCTTTACAGTTTCTTATCGAATGAATTACGAATTCACGGAGTGTCTGTTGTAATTCAATCGACGAGCACTTTGTTACTTTATGTTATGCATCGTGAGAGACGTTAGACTTGATAAAGTTAAACACGAGCGCACGTTAACGTATAAAGATGTCAAATTTCGCGTCCTTACCCGTAAGAGTACTCTCACGGGGCTTTGTACGGAAAAGAAGAGACGAGATCCGACCCGTATGAAGGTACCGAGCTTTCTCGTCGCAAGAAGAAATTTACGATTTTCTGCATCGACTTCTGTTAAGCTAACATAAACAATCGAAACGGGGGATATTGAGTGCTAATTAGATGCTAATTTAGTGCTGTTTCCTCGATTTTAGTGTTCGAGCAATTTAGCAAAAATTGGCGTCTGAAAATGGGGATGTTAGCTTACGTAAAAAAGAGACATGTGAACACATATGTACATGGTTACGATATAAATTAATACGACATTATGTAATGCAATGAAACATAATACTTCGTTATGATGCAACATATTCGATCTGGATTCAGAGTTGGTACCGCGTCTTTCTTGGATTTGTTTCCGGCGATTTGTGAACATTTCTGCTCACTTTTTCAGTGAAAAGAACCTGAAATTCCTTGATATAATATAATATAATGTATAATATATACAAAGGTATATAATAATAAATAAATAATATATGATATAAATCTAGGAACAAACATGCATTTGTTAAAACCAGAAGTGATTCAGCCTATATTAATTCTAAATTAAAATTTGACAAAAAATTAATAAAGTATACTAAATCAGAAAATCGATTAAATGCGCATTTAGAAATATAAATGGTATTTCGTGTATTTTTATATATTTTGAAATGTTTGCGCGACGTTACGTTCTTGTATCATCGGCATTTCATATGTTGTGGGCGATAAGCAATCATTCAAGTACAGGTTGCTAAAACTACTCATGGATAAAATTAGATAAAACGGCGAATAAAACGAAGAATAAAGCGACGTTCATAAAATTATAATCAACGTGATTTATAATTCGACGTGAGCAAACTTAAAGATACATCCCACGTGACAAATTTCGAACTTGACACCTTCACGATGAGGTCAAACGTCGATCGAGATTAAACGAGAACTTTCTGTTAACGTAGGAAACAAGTTTTGCTGAAACAGCAAATTGTTAATATTGTGACAGCAAAAAAATCTGTTACACGGAAAAAAGAATTTTAATGTTGTAACAAAACACCGTTGCTACAGCAATAAAATTTAGCTGGCGTAACTAAATTATTTTGCTGTCCATATATCCAGTAAATAGCAATTAATATAAAATTTTTAACAAATTTTCTGCTGTCCAAGCAAATTTTTTTGCTGTCTAAACAAATCCTTTTGCTCTCATTATATTTACAAACATTTGCTATTCTAGCAAAATTTGTTTCTTCCGTGCAGAGAAATTTACGAATACTTACCGGCAAACACATGCCTTGAACGAGCCATCAATCAATTCTCATTGTCGATTGCATCAAACACATTCACACACACACACACACAATTTACGAGCATCGCGCGCAATAAATCAGAACGGGTCGGAGTAGCGTGCGGAATTGACTCTTGAGCGATAAAATTGTTTGCTGAAAATTAAGTGCGATGAGCGCGAAAAGGTGACAGGGAGAGGAAATGTCTCCGAAACCGAGGTGATTTCATCAACTCGCGCGCATCACGGAAAGACAGAGAGAGACGCAGCGAGGTAGAGAATAAGAGAGGAAGAGAAAGATTCTACTATAGAAACTATGCGCGGCGCGCATATAATCGCCTGATATCGAACACTCCTCTTCACGACGGAAGCCGCCTCAATAAAGTCTCGACCCCGACGCCGCGTGTCGTATCGAAAATTACAGTCTTCGCTTTTCGACCAATCCCCGCTAGTGAACGATGTGCTGTTATCTGGCATTCGCATTCTGATATTCGACATATTACGCACGACGCGATCTGCTGCGGTGAGAGTCGCACGCTAAATAGAGAACGCGCTAACATGACTGACATGACAGCCGAGAAGAAGAAACCTGAACAAACAGACTCGAGTGAGTATGCCGTCCAAATGTTTGCGAGGATAGATTTTATACCGCCATAGATTTTGCCGAGATTACTTTTAGAAAACGAAAATTCGGACGTGACGAGAGGAAATGAACGTCTCACGCTCGGATTCCATTTGCCTTTCTATCCATCTCTCTCTCTCTCTCTCTCTCTCTCTCTCTCTCTCTCTCTCTCTTTCTTTCTCTCTCTGTCCGTCTCGTAAAATTGAAAAGAAAATTTAATTTAATCGCGCTTATGTGAATTATAAAGAATTTCATCTCCTTAGGGCCGGTTGTTTCACCTTCGGATAAATTTATCTAATGGATAAATACGTACGGAAGTAAACTACAAAAATATGAAACAATTACCGGGACATTATTGTTCTTCAATAATGTTTTTTAACAGTACACCAGTAATTCGTATTCCTGTATGGGATTTATTTCTATATGGGAATGTTCTTCAAATATTTATCCATCAGATAAAACTATTCGAAAGTAAAACAACTGGTCCTTTATTACTTAAGCACATTTGCATTTAAGTGTTTGGGCTCTTATTAACTTTCTTTCGCACAATTTTTACTGGCAATCGATTGGAAATGGCACAGTCTCTGTTTTAATTTTGTTCAAGTTAATCCAGCTCGTTTATTCGGAACAGAGAGAAAAAGGGTAAAATAATGTTTAATAAAATTTAATGAGAGTAACGTGAAAGATAGAGGCGATACGCGATAACTTTGTTGAATCGTGCGCTCGACAGTTGTGATCGAAGATGCGGCGAATGGGAAAATCGCGGACTTCGAGACGGCGATCACCGCCGCTGGGACCGGCAAGTTCCAGTACTTCCTCATTCTCGCTATTATCCCGGCTTCCTGGGCATCCAGCGTGGACACCGCTAATATGTCGATGATACTCGCGTCGGCGGAGAGCGATCTGGGATTATCCCTGTTCAATAAGGGCCTCCTGAACGCTATCATCTACGTGGGTGAGTGGAGCGCGCGCGACGTTTTGAATGGTTCTCGGCAGACGAGCGATAATAACGTAGGGATTATCGGAGTAATGCACGGAAAGTGCACACGCGTAAGATTGACTCACCGTGCGAAACGACGCCAGGTATGGTGATGAGTGGTTTCATCTGGGGATATCTCGCGGACGTCAAAGGGAGGAAGAAGGTCATATTGTACGGCTATCTGGCGGACGGTGTCTGCAATGTGCTCGCCGGCTTCTCGCAGAATTTCGGCACGCTCGTGTTCTTCAAGTTCCTCAGCGGCCTGCTGTAAGAGAAATAAAAAAAAAAAAGATCTCATGTCTAATCACGTTAACTAGATTAACAAGCGAATCTTTTTCCCGAAGTTGTTCTCCTTCGACGGGAGAGATAACGATCGGACCGATTTTCATTCGTCATTTTAACTTCTCATCATCAACCACGCTCTATTTCCATCAGCACCTTTTCGCATTCCATTCGGTTTATCGGTTAAACGTTTACGAGCGAATAAACTTGAATTCATGTCAGCGTGAGCGGTCCGCACGCGAGTCTCATGGCGTATTGCACGGAATTCTACGGCGACAAGGGCAGGGCGAAGATTCCGATCCTCGTCGGCTTCTCCGTTCAGTTCGGATGCGTCATTAACGCAGGTAAAACCATCCGTATATTGCAGAATTGAATTTGCCGAGAGAATTGATGTACGCTCGGGGAAAGAATTAGCCATAGGAGCAGCTAAAATACAGCAGTGGCAGCGAAAATGCGTCTTTGAAATAGGGGGGCAGTTAATATAGTTGCTATCGCAATTAAATTTATATGCCGAATATTTATATGTCGATATTATCTGAATTTAAGCGTTACAACGAAAAATATTGGCTAGATCGTATTAGATAATAGTATTAAAGTCATATTCACATCCCCGGCTAGAAATTTATTGCTTTTTTATTAACAGAAGCTATCCTTAGAATGTTAGTGATTTTGTCTAAAATTTAGCCAATTTTTTACCTACTTGATTTTCTTGATTTAATGCTGCATCGTATCTGAAAAATACGCTTAAAAGTCTTGAACTCTTCGCAAAAACCCTTACGAACTTTTTTTTCATCAAGCAACCTAATATATTTCTTCGTAAAATTAACGCTTCTTATGCAACTACGTAGTGTTGGCCTGGCTGGTGGTTCCTCAGCCATGGTCGATCGTCCTCTGGGACGGGGCCTTCGTCTACAATTCCTGGAGGATCTTCCTCTCCCTTTGCGGAGTGCCGACGATGATAGGTGTTTTTTGCCTCTGCTTCTTCCCGGAGAGTCCGAAATTTCTGATGACGCAAAATCGTAACGAGGACGCGCTCGAGGTCTTCAAGCAGATCTACAGCACGAATACCGGCCTACCTAAGGATAACTATCCCGTAAGCGCACATATCAAGATCCTGAATTTCTCTACACTTGCGTAAATAAAAAAATTGCTACGTTCAATTTTGAAATTTGTATTCATCTAGTTTGAAACAAAGTGAACGGAGAAAGCACAAATAACAAATAACAAACAACAAATCTCGTTAACTTTATTAAAAAAAAAATGCAAATTCTGCAATGATATGTAACAGCAATGCAATGTAAACGCAATGCAAGAAAAAATTATATTCTTTAGGACTGCTATTTACTACAAAACGAACGTACTTTCTAGTTCTTGAAGTTTCGAATATACAAGCACCCGAATATCCGAATATTCGAATTTTCACACCTCAAAAAAAAAAATGTCATTATTCAAGTATATTAAATCGAAGGTTCAAAAATTCGAAGCTTCGAAGGGTCGGAGCTTCGAATATAATTTCCAGCCCTAATGCCCGCGTGTTTCTCATTGTCAGGTACGCGCCTTGGGCGACATGAATTTGAACAGTGTGATCGTGGGGCGATCGTTAGAATCTCGCGAAGGCAAGTCCTTCAAGGATGGGATCCGGCAGCTGATGCCTATTCTCTCGAAGCCGCATCTGGCGCGTATTTTGTTGTTAGTCACCGTGCAATTCGGCGGGATGCTGTGGTGAGTACGTGATAATTCGTACAGCGACCTAATGCTGGCCGATGCAACATAATTGATTTTCCTCCGTCGTCCGCGTCGTTTTCGGGCCGAGTGTTCCTCTCCGACCTTAAACGCTGAGAAGTCCGGCAGTCCGAATTCGTTCGTGCACCGAATGCGCTCGCGAATCGGCCGTAAATCGGCGTCCAGCGAATTCGATCGATTCGCAACCATTATTATTAGTTGCACAATAATAATCGCGCGCGCGCGCTGTGATTGTCGCGGAGGTGTCGTAAATCAGAGAGTTATCAGAGTGGCGAGTATAGCAGCGCGCGATAGTAGAACGGTAACATGTGAGTTACTCCGCGATTACTCTGATGGAATCGCGCTACCGCTTTTTACGAGATGCAATAAGACGAGTGACTCGTCGTAAAAAAATTTTAAGACCGCGTTTGGTCGTATAAGTGCCGAGTTGATGTTTGAATGACAGATCCGAAGATTTACGACTTTATCAGCGCGCGAGGAAAAGAGAGAGAGAGAGAGAACAAGAGACAGAGAGCTACATACACGACTATACATCTGTTGCGCGATGTTCCGACTGTTAACTTGAGATATACTCTCATTATCTGGATACACATCGCCGCGCGGATGCCGCATCGCGGCATCTGGTATCACGTGTTCTACTAAATTCTTCTACTAAATTAAAGGGTGTCAGCCGTGCGAGACGATAACAAAAATAAAACTGAATACACACACACGCAATACGCATTCTCGTCCTCGGCTCGGAGAACTTGCGCGCCTCCGTCAGACGTCTACTAAAATCTTCTACTAAATTAAGGGATGTCAGGTACGGCGATAACAAAAATCAAACGGCGCCGTTTGTGTCGTGGTTTAGCCGTGCAATTCGCGCGCGCGAAAATTAAATACCCCTTTTATTCTCGGAAGCATTTATCGAAGGTGAAAATTTTCCACTGGCGCGCTGACGGGGGAGCCGGCGGATTTCGACGTTGATAACGGCGAAAATAAGGCGCCCGGTGGTGGCCGATTCGAGAGAACGGCGGATTAACGGCGTCGCGACTTCCGCGGACTCGCGCGATCGTTCCGAGACGCCGGTCGGATCACATCGACTCGTTCGCTCGCAATGACATGTTCGAACATCTTGATTTTTAGCGTGTCTTTTACACCGGCTTATCTTGACGTTGATTAACACGTTGAGTGTTGATTTATTAACACCGTTCGACTTCCCGGCCCTGTCAGGCATAACGCATATATTTTGCGTTACCTCTTCCTCTACATATAATAATAATTTTTCTGCTCTTACAAAAATATTCTGAGATATTCCTTACGACAAATGCGGCGACGTTGGCCATCGTCGAACTTTCCGACGTGAACGGAAAGTTACGTGAAATTGACGCGGCACGTTCAGCGTGGTTAACATTGACGCGCCCCGCTACTAATCGTTACGTTTGCAGTCTGAACACCTTGCGCCTCTGGCAGCCGCAACTCTTCGCGACGATAGAGGACTTTAAGAACCTCGATATCAACGTGACTGATCCCACCTTCTGCGAGATACTAGATATTTCGACGTCACTCGACGCAGATACAACCGCAACGACGACACCGGTGAGCGTCTACCCGGGAACGTGAGATAACTCCATTTCTCGTCGCGCGTCTCGCTTCGCGATTAGACGATGTTCTCTTTTTTTCAGGCCGTGTCGGAGTCGATGTACATCGGCACTGTCATCGTGTCGATCACCGCGTCCGTTTTCATCTTTTTCGCCAGCGTCCTCGTGAATTTCATCGAGCACAAGTATCTCTTACGTAAGTCTCTCACACGCGATCTCCTATGCTCCGTTCTTCTTCTTTCCGGCTTGTCTGAAATCGAGATTATATTAATTAATCATCGTGACTTCTCTCTCTCTCTCTCTTTCTCTCTCTCTCGGCGGGAACGCAGTCATCAGCTACGGATGCGCGTTCTTGTGCCTGATATCCCTAGTTTGGGCCACGGACATGTTGGTCACTCTGGTGCTCACGTGCCTGTTCGTCGGATTGCTGAGCGAGACTTTCAACGTCCTGGTGGGCGCGACCGTTCTGCTCTTCCCCACATCCTTGAGGTTCGTCACTTGCATTCGCAACGCTTGTCCGTGCAGCGATGCACCGAGAGCGAGTAGTACCGTTAGGAGATAGCCGGCGTTACACGTTATTGAATTTCGCGTTCTCTCGTCAGAGCCATGGCGGTCAGCATGGAAATGATGGTAGGAAGGCTGGGATCCATGATCGGTAATCTCGTGTTTCCGGTCTTGCTCGCGTACGGCTGCGTGGCGCCGATCATCAATCTGGGGTGCTTCACTTTACGTACGTATTCCTTTCTCGATAATCTTTCCCATTAAGTTTCGTTCGTTTCAGCCGAATCAGATTGCACCCGCTTTCAGAGTGAAACAAGTGTACACATTTGTTTGTAATCTGACGGGAAAAGGAACGATGTTCCAGTGCAGCATTGCATGCAGTAGAAACATTTGTACTTGTGTTAAGACCGGTCATCGTTAAAATTTTTGAATTGCATTTTTTATTTATCCGTGTGTTGATTTAACATATCGTGCGTTTGTGTTATCTCAATATTTCACGTTAAGTCGATACTCAGCATATGTAAATGTTAAAATAATACTTTAAGTGTTAAAATAACACACATTTTATACGTCAGTGTCGATTAACGTGTCACGGATATTCATTTTGTGCTCTTGACATCATATTTGCGTTACTTTTCGACATGTTCAGCTCGTGTTAAATTTAACACGAAATTGTTTACTGTGCGGTTCAGCTGAAATGAGGCCGGCGCCTGTTTAAACTTCCTTCATTCAAATTCTCATTTACCGATCGCAAATTTTCGTCGGAATCATTCTCGTTCAAATTTTCACCGGTCACGAAATTTCGTTCGTTAAAATCTATCTCATCTAAATTCCCACTCGTCGGTCACAAAATATTTAAAACCCGTGAAAATATTTCCCAAAATTTTCGTCAGACTGCGTGGAATCTTGCGAACGCGCCGGTACGGCGCAACCGTGGCGAGTCGCGACGCGAGGTAACCTTGCAACTGTGATCTCGCGCTTTTCAGTGTGCATCGTTCTGACGTGCTTCCTGCCAAGCACGAGAAAGCACGCGGCGTGAGGATCGTTTTTTCGGGCGCACTCGAGGACATGAATCGGAGGAGGAGGAGGAGGAAAAGGAGAAGAAGGAGGAACCGAAGCGTTAGGGGTCTCAGGACGGAGCCGAGAACGAGCTGCGAAGAGAGTGTCGGAGAATCGACCGGCAGCTCGCACTTTTTACCGACCATATTTTCTTCCACAATGACTCCCGTCCCCGCGAAAATGCACGATCGTCCGGCGGAGACTCTTCAAGGACCTGGATTGAAGTGCTCTATCGCGAGCTATGATCGAGCCCGTATGAGGGCGGACAATGGTCATGCATATACATGCAACACACAACCTAGAGAGACCGTACGAGAGACCTTGAGTTTCACTTTCGACACATCCTGGAGAGCCCTCCAGCCTTCACCTACATGCTCGTTCTCCTCTATCCCGCGCAGCGCGCGTGGACGCAGCTCTATCTCGGGATCTCGGCGTCTCTGTGCGGCCGCTGTGCCGATCGGTGCAATAAAATGTCCCGACACGCGCGAAAGCCGTGCTTACATGCCTTCGAGAAACAATTAGAAGAATAACCAATTAATACGCGTGCGCGAGCAGCGAGTCGAGTTTCATCTCTCTTTTCAATTTCCACACGGCCGCTCGATCCAAACCTTCCGGATAACACAATGTATATATATATATATATATATATATATATATATATATGTTACCGTTGAATAGCTAGTTTTGAAACGAATTGTCGCTGCTAATTCAGCGCTGCTGCGATTCGGCGACTGTAGGACTTCCGAATCGCCGATGTTCCTCTTCTATTCCACGCGAAGGAACTGTGATAGTTAGACGAGTTACGCGTGAATCGAAAGTTACCAAGTTAAAATAACTAAGCACGGGAACTAAGTTACGGTAGGTAGCTAAGTTACATAAGCAGCTCTATTGTCCCCTCGGATAAATATATTCACAGCGGGGAACGCGCGTTCCTGCTTGCGCGGCGTGCCGTTTATCCGTCATTTTATCGCCGCGAGTATATCGCGACACATTGTATTGAACCGCTACGATTCACATATATACGAGTATATATATATATAACCCCACGATATAAATAATATCTTTGTACCATAAACGACTCTTTGTGGAAACAACATGCAATTACTCTTCCGCCGCGGTTGCGTAATGACTGCCGTCGCCGCGTTTGACAGTTAACACGTGGAAATGAGATGTCGAATAATCGCGCGTTCACCGCATTATTCTCGCGCGGCAATTAGATATAGCGCTCGCCCGAGCGCGCGTTATATCTCGATTAAATCGCGCTCGGGCATTCTGCTGTTAATGAAATCGCGTAATGTCTCATTAGCGGGTAAGTGCGCGCGAGAGCTACGCTTTTAAATGCCCGCAGCTTCCTGCGGTGTTTCATTGTAAGGGCTCCCTGGCGCCTGGGACCGCATTCCGCATAAATTGCGGAAGGGAAATATGCGGCTGCACACACACAAACAAACACGCATACGTGCACGTACAACTCGTCGTTGGAAAAACGTACCTGCGGGTACGTTTCTTCCGTCCGACGCGCGCGTCCATGAGAGAGCGCAATGCTGCGACCCGATGTCTGCATTAAAAGCCGGCGCGTATCCGTGAGCTGTGAGCACGCGTTGTATTCCAACAACGATCCGAGCACCGCAACAACTTCATCTGACACGCTGTATATACGTACATAGGGCACGTAGGTACGGCCGTAAGTGCGCGTGATCGAAGGCGTTGCGGAGCGGCTTCAGCCCTGCGACGATACGACGATGACGGCACCTTCGCACGGTGTGCAAATACAATGGCGGCGCATTAGCATTGTTAATGGCTAGCATTTGGTATAATATACAAAGAAAAGAGAGAGTTCTCGCACCTCCTTCCGCGCCTATATATTCTAATTAACACGCCCTCTTGTTCGCGTTCGCGCCGTGTAGTGGAAAAGAACCGGTCCTTCTCTTTCTTCTTCTCTCCCTCCCTCTCCCTCTTTCCCCGGAATAACACCCTCCGCCCGACGGGCTCTTCAATTTGAAAAGGCCGCATTAATTAATAATTAATAAGTAACTGGATAATATCTCACAGGTGAAGGCGCTGCTTGCGCCTCCGCATCGCCGCTGACCGTTTCCACGCGATCGTGAAACTTCCCGATACTAGAAATTTACCTCATGGTCCGGCTTATGTTGACCTTAACTGGTTGCCGAGTCCATCTAAGGTTATATTATCAGTTCCTAAGAAGTCATGTAATGCCACGTGGTAATCAGGACCTTAATCACGCAGGATTCACTATAACGTTTTCATCAGGTTATACTATCGAATCCTTTTTACCTCAGGTAACGGAAAGGATTAGCTTAGGATTTTTAAGGAGTGCTAAACTAGCGAAAGATATCTACCAAATATATAAATCGATGAACAAATATTGTTAGAATTGGACGATTTTCGACTTAAACGACGCAAATAATACACACAGAAGCGAACAGGTCACTTATCCATCATTTGGAAATCATCCAATTCTAACAATATATTCTAACGATATATTAATTATTAAGTAATTAATTAAATCGTCTGAGCGAATGAAAAGGAAGCTATAAGCTAGACTTTATAGACATATGAAAGAATGATAGCTTCTCGTGCGCTCATTCGCATGATTTTCCTGTTCGGTTAGACAGAATATATGTGCATTTGTCACGAAACCTGTTTGTAATCCGAAATTAAGAAGACAACAAATATTTGTATGGAAAAGAAAAATTATGAAAAATAGAATTTATTAATTAAACCTGCTATATATTAGATTTGCTACAAAAAACGTCCGTATTAGAAACTGATAATGCAATTCATAATAGATAAAGTGAGCGAGATCCTGAAAAGGACCTGATCGGTAAAACTTAATAAAATAATGCATTAGAATAAATACATAGATTCTAATATGTGTACCTGATCATTAACAACCTTATGACAGATATACCTATCTTCCTTATTGAATTTTTATCCGTGCATGATTGAGTTAACTATAGTAAGGAACACCTTGCGCTCATCTAATTACCCAGGATCCTATGCGATATTAAGTGCACCCGATGACAATTTCTAGTCGGAGCGACTTACGCGCAGCTTGGAGCGACTTCCGCGTAACGCGGAGCTGTTATCGAGGCGAGCTAATCGAGTCGCCTCGGATGTGTCCATAATCCGGGCGGGACAAAGAAGAGCCGGCCGTTGAAGAACGGACCGCTCGATCGAGCGGGAAGTCTCTCGTGAGAATCGCTTCCTCTCGCTCCTCTAATCGTTCTTTCGGTACGGACCGACACGAAGTCGTCGTCTTCGTATCGCGATTTCACGGCCGCTATTCCGCTCGATCGCTATTCCGCCGCTGCCGCGCTCTCGCCGTGGGTACCGGCGCGGTGAGACAGTCGCATCGGGATCGCATCGGTTCGTACGATACTGTTACGGGCTCGCTCGCGGAAACCTTCCGGGAACCTGCTACCGGGATCCCGGAGACGCGGTTTCCGTTGCTTCTCCACGTGGCGTCGAAGTTCCGCGGAGAGAGAAAGAGAGAGAGAGAGAGAGAGAAAGGGAGATAGACGAGTCTTCGCCGCGACAGGTAGAAGCTCCACCTGACAGCCTCACGTTCTAACCGTATGTCATGTTATTTATTGTCGCCTTACCACCACCCCGGTGGTGGTGATACCGGTGGTGGCAGGTGGTGGTGGTGGTGATGCGAGCACGTGGACGAAGTCGCTGAAGTCGGTAACGGGTGACGTTGCGTTACGGTCACCGTTAGATTTCGGTTTCTCGCAAGCGAGCGAGCGAGGGAACGAAAGAGAGAAAAAGGGAGAGAGAGAGAGAGAGAGAAAGAGATTCTCCTCCAACGGGGATTCTTTTTTTCCCCGGCGAATATTCGACGTATTCATTTTTTTTTTTCGTCGCCTCTTCAACGTCGTTCGATCCTCGCATTCGCATTTATTATTCACGATTATTCCGCGCTATCGCCGGAATTTTTCGACCGCGCGCCGCCGAGACACGTCGAAGGCCGGATCAGCGCGCTCGTCACGATCGGAAAACGCTGAAAGATAATAACGATCGCTGGCGGGGCGCGCACGATCGGCGAAGAATGACGGCGAAATTACAAGGTACTCAGCATTCACGGCAGTCCCCTGGCGCTGTGGGAAGAGTTAATTAAACCGGCCACGAAAACTAAGAGCGAGGAAGAGGAGGAGGAGGAGGAAGAGTCGGGAACCGGGAGCGTCGAAGGCTAGAAGACGGCGATCGAGAATAGATCGACCACCGTCGAAGGAAAACCGTGTCGATCTTCGGCAGGATCGTCGTCTGCGGTCACTTCTTGTCCGCGGCGGACAAATACACAATCCGCATGAAGTTAATTAACGACAGCGGCGGCGATGTAGACGTTCGGCCGGCTAATCGTGGGCACTTGCGTTTTTGCCCAGCGACGTCGACGACATCGCCGAGACGCCTGTGACGAGTGCTGGTCGATAGAGCGAAAAACAGAGAGAGAGAGAGAGAGAGAGAGAGACCGCGGTCTCGCCGTCGTCAAAGCCGATCGACTTCAGGGTGGCCACCCGCAGCGGAATAGATGAGTCACTTTCGGCCGTGGTTCATCGCGCGTTGCTGCTCCATTGTGCGAGCCGCGCCGTCAGTTTGTCCGTTCCGCAGCAGGTGAACTCCAAGGGGTGAACGGTAACGATTTCGGCAAGGACGACTCCGATCGCGAGGTCGTGCCGAGGAAAGTCGTCCCGACGTAAATTCGCGATCTCATTGAAGTTTCAGTCTCACGATACGCGCAAGAAGCGCGAAACTTCGTGACTTCGTCAACTTGAGTTAAGTCACCTGTCCATTTCTGTCTGTCGAATTCACCGTCAAATAGCAATTTCTCCTGGTGAATTAATTCTTCGATTATACTTACGTGTTAATATCTGCCTCGAATTATCTTTCTTTTTATTATTAGAGAAGAAACACCATGAGAAAGACCGACGTAACATTTTGTTTTTGAGCTCTACAACCTTGTTGAGGGTGTAGGATAAAAAATGTATGTGCATGGATGCAAAGTTATTTTTAATCTTACAAATTTCTTATTACGTAGAAAGGGATTCCCTGACTTTCGACAGAATTCGGTACTTTATATTTATATTCCCCGAGAAACATTAGTTCATGTCGATTTTCCACACCTATGTCGGTTCTAATGCCTTTCTTCTGTCTATTCTTTTTAATTATTTAATTATTTTTCGACATACACTTCGTAACGCAGCCGACATCAATAGAAGGATTTATTTTCGAGAAATTCTCAGAAGAGAGGTCTTCTCGTTGAATGTCAGATGCATTACGAAACATATAAAAAAGAAAGTGTATCGAACTTGATTCCCGCGATCGCACGTTATTTCATCCCGTATCTTCCTGATTATACCGCTCTTTACGCTCCTATAAATAGCGACAAC